TTTTTCATCTGGAACTCACCAGAACTCAGTTCCAGCACCTCTCAAACGGACTCCATTATAAGAGAACAAGGAAGGCATTCGTGATGAGTTCCTGCACCTCTTTTTCTAGAAAAACAGCGGTGAAGACAGTATTGTCCGGATATTTATTGCATTTCCTTTCTGTGGATAAGCCAAGCAGAAATTCATTAAATATGTATCTGTTTAAAATCACCACGTTTATATTTACATTTCTTCCAAGGAATTCAAGGTGACAGGCATGTTTCTCCCACACCCCATTTTATACGCTGAAAAGTCCTGAGAGGTAGGTTAGACAATCATTATTTGCCATGGCTGTGCTCAGCTTTTAGTACGCTTTTGAATCCCAGCGGCTGAAAAGCACAGGAGGAGAGAGTGCTATTGTGTTCGGGTCTTACTAGTGGGTTTCCCATAGGCACCTGGTTGGACACCATGAGAACAAGATACTGGACTAAATGGGCCACTAACGTGATCTAGTAGGCTTTGACATTCTTAAATTGTGACTGGTCCAAGGTGAGCTTCATGACTGAGTGGGAATTTGAAACCCCGTCTCCCAAATCCTAGTCTGACACTGCTACCCCCCCCATCATTAACATACATATGTTCCTATGTGTGTAAGGAAGTTGTTTTGAAAGCTGCAACTTCTAAATTTCTGTCGGGATATATCTGACACTGACACACACACACACACACACACACACACATATATATATATATACAGTGGTACCTCGGGATATATCTGACACACACACACACACACACATATATATATATATACACAGTGGTACCTCGGGTTATATACAATCTGAACCAACAGTGGAGGGGTTCACAGCATTAATACCCAAATAAAGCCCAGCTTCTTCCATAGCCACAGCTCTCTGCCTTTCCAGCTGGCAGCTTTTGCATTCAATTTCTAGCTGATACAGCTCTGACCTTTTGCATTTCTAACTAACAGACAGCTAAGTGGGGGAGGCCCCCAATTTGTCCTCTTGCACAGAACCACTCCCTTTGTTCCCTTAACAGTAACAAATTATCTTTAGCAGTCTATTATCAGGCTATCTGGCTGGCCTGGCTACTGCAGCAATCCATGCTGGATCCAGGAATTGGAAGAGGGGCTCAGGCATACCTCCCAAACCTATAACAATTACTGGCCTATGATTTATTACTACATCTGGCAGCACTTAGTTGGACAGGCAACATTCATACTGTTACAGATCTGGGATACCAGAGTTTGAGGGTGCAAGGGCAGCCAGAACTGCTAGAGTTAGTGAATGTTAGAAATCAGTAAAGGGGTAGAATTTAGCTGATTTTTGGAGTAGGAAGCAACAGTGCCAGACACTAGATTCAGAATACAGGCCAAACTAGTTCTCCTGTTCAGGAGATTGCTGTTAGCGATGACATTAAGAAAACAAGAAGAACTAAGTAGCGGGCCGTTATAGAACCACCCAGCTGCTGTCCTTACACCTCAGCTGTTTGTTAGTTATAGCAGAATTGGAAGAGGTTGCAGGAGGCGTGATGTCACACAGGAAAAATGTGCCCTTTTTGGAAAACAGGTCTCAAGAAGGGGAGCAAAGAAACTGAAGGGGAGGTGTTGCGCTTTGCAAGGTGTTCTGGGAACAAGGAGGAGGAAGTAGAAAGAATTTCATGCGCTGGAGGAGGCTGGAGGAGGAGGTTCCGCCAAGAGACTGGAGGCCATGACTGCCTTTTGCTTTGGACCCAAGCTCACCGAAGCTATGAGAGGAGCAATGAGGGACACTCTTGGGATGCAATATTCTGTGTCCCATCCATTGAAGGCTTTAGGTGTAAATAGCTTTAAAATAAACCGTATTTCTTAAAGGCACTAGTCTATGCTGCAGTGTTCAAAACTCCCATTGTTCTAGGCGTGTTTTGAGACAAGGAATTTCTTTAGCGAGAGCAGTTTCTGAGTTCTGAGCACAGTACTGCACCTATGATTTCAGATTAAAACTGCAGAGTGGAAGGAAGGGAGGAGCTTTTTCTGCCTCCCCACTCCAAGCCACTCTCTGAAAACTGGAGAAGAGACCCTCTTAAGAATATTAGGGGGGCAGGCAGGGGAAGCATGGCTTTGTTTTTGCAGTCTTCATATGAGGACTAGTCTATGTGAAAAATGAATATAAGGTTTTAGCTGCAGTTCATTCATTTTCAGCTTTGTATTCTTGTAAAGAAAGTATGTCTAGACATTCCGTTCTTTCACCCATAACCTAGGTTTAAGGTGCCATTTAGCTTCTAGCTTTCATATCTCAGTTTTTAACATTGCTATGCTGTGCCTCGATTTCCCAACACAACCCTGTTGCAGAGTTTGGGGGTGACATGCAGCCTTAGTAACAATACATTGCCTCACACATGCTGTCATGCTCCACACCTTTAGGGAAGGATTTTCCCCTCTCCCTGACTGAAAGGAAATTGTACTCTTTTCACCCCAAGTTACAAAACATGCTCTGCATCAAATAAATAGTATGGAGTGTGTTGGTTAAGTTCATATTTCTTATAAATGCACTCTAGCCTACTTATTTGCACAGTGTGGCATCCATTGAGGGCTTTGTACTAGTAGAAGCACTTCTGCTAACACAACACTTTTACTAATCCTCCTTTTTCCATTTGCTGTCCTCCGTGTCATATCTACCAAATATTTAGGAGTAGGTTTCAGGGAGCATGAGCAGATGCGCCGGTAGGTGGGGACAGTAACAATCAGGTGCAGAAGTGGAAGCGCTTCTAATGCAAAGCTACTGTTGGAGACAAGCCCTATATTGGCTTATACATGTTGGGCATAAGAACTAGAGGAGTAAGGAAAAGGCATAATAGAAAAGATGGGTTCCGAAATGCGACTGGACGGAAGTAAGAAACATAGTATTGCACAGGTGTTCTGGGAAGCAGTTCAAGTATATGGAGCAATAAGGAGGAGAGGCAGATTTTTTTACCCTAGATTGTAGGATTAATCTACACTGGTGAATTATAACATTAAAATGTGACACCAGAGTGCTGTAGAGCAGCGATCTGTGGCCAATGGGAAATTGCACTGGAAGCTATATTTTTAAATAGCGTTTTTTTAATAGCGTTTTCCAGATCAGCGTAGATCCGGCCGTAGTCTCCCTTCCATATATTATAACAGAGACCTTACTTACCATTAGCTGAAACTGAACCTAGGAACTCACGTTTTTATTTCACTTTAACCACACAGCCAATGCCAATGTCAAGTATTGGTATATACCAAGTTTTACAGCAAACTAGAGTCTATGAAATACTAAGTAGACCTCAGAGACCAAGCCTTGGTGAAATCCCTAGTCTGTTGCAGCAAAAACAAGTCTTGCGGCACAGTAAAGATTAACAAATTTATTGTGGTATCTGTTTTTTCAGATCAGATTCTTTATCAGATGACCAAAGATTTTCTTAGTAGGCAGTTAAATAGGCATAGTGGGGGGAAACTGTAAGCCATGAAGCCATGTGTCTATGAAATGCAAGAGCTACAGTTTGTGATATTCAATGTAAAAGTGTATATAAGTAAAACACAGTGTCTATTTACAACGGCATTCATTTGTAATATAATTTTTCATAGCTTTTTAATGTTAATTTAACATCTGAAATGGATGGGAAGCAATTATCGTGAGCCAGGGCTAAACAAATATAATTAAAAGTTACTGATAAACTCTAGTCCAGCAATTTTTCATTAGAGACTTCCTTTGAAGTGGTTATACTAAGTGTTTATACTAACTTAGACAGTATAGAAGCGCTAGGACTGGGAACTTCTAAGTTCAAAGCCCCACTCAGGCATGAGGGGATGGGCCGTAGCTCAACAGCAGAGCACAAGTTTTGTGTGAGAAAGGTTCCAGGTACATTCCCTCTTTCATTTACAAGTAGGCCTGAGAAAAGACTCCAGCATGACAGCACAGAGAGCTGCTGTCAGTCAGTGTAGACAACACCAAAATAAATGAATGGTATTTATAGTATTTTCCTATTCACAATGGCCTTCGGTCTTCAGGGAAATCAACTTAGTTATAATCCTAAAAAAGCAGAGACATCACCTTGCCAACAAAGGTCCGTATAGTTAAAGCTATGGTTTTCCCAGTAGTGATGTGTGGAAGTGAGAGCTGGACCATAAAGGCTGATCGCTGAAGCATTGATGCTTTTGAATTATGGTGCTGGAGGAGACTCTTGAGAGTCCCATGGACTGCAAGAAGATCAAACCTCTCCATTCTTAAGGAAATCAGCCCTGAGTGCTAACTGGAAGGACAGATCCTGAAGCTGAGGCTCCAATACTTTGGCCACCTCATGAGAAGAGAAGACTCCCTGGAAAAGACCCTGATGTTGGGAAAGATGGAGGGCACAAGGAGAAGGGGACGACAGAGGACAAGATGGTTGGACAGTGTTTTTGAAGCTACCAGCATGAGTTTGACCAAACTGCGGGAGGCAGTGGAAGACAGGAGTGCCTGGTGTGCTCTGGTCCATGGGGTCGCGAAGAGTCAGACACGACTAAGCGACTAAACAACAACATAATCCTATCATTTGCTACACTAGCACTTTAATACCCAAGCTGTCACCTACAGTTACTGAAAAATATTTCATAGACCACATGGAGGATTTCTAATAGATTTTGATGCATTATCTCTAGTGGGGCCATTCTAGTTCATTTGATCATGTACAGTAATTAACAGTTACTAATTACTGAGACATCTCCCCCCCCCTCCCCGTGTAATCCTATCCATGACATTAACCCCCCCCGCCCCGCCCTCACTGCTTTTGCTTCCAAAGCCGGGCACGTGACGCCACAGACGCTCTCCGTCATAAGCCAGCGGCGTGGGAAATTGTGCGAGCGGAAGGGGGATCCCGCCTTTTCATTGGCCGGCCGGGGATGGCCCGAGCTCCCTGATTGGCCGGCGGCTCTGAACGTCGTCGAGGTGCATTATTGGGTAGGGCCATGAGGGACGGAGGGCGCGGATTGGTCGGCGGCCAGCGCCTGGGGGGAGGGAAGGGGCCGACGCCTGCGCGCCGATTGGGCAGTGCAGTCGGACGGGGCGGGCGAGCGGCCATGGCGTGGTTACTTGGGCCGCGCTGAGCCCGGCTCGCTTCTTTCTGTCGCATTCGGGGAAGGGGCGGCCGTCGGTGCCGCCGCCGCCGCCAGGGCAATGATGAAGGGCGCGCTGGCCAGCCCCGTGGCCGCCGCCACAGCCATGCAGGAGACTTTCGGCTGCGCCGTCGCCAACCGCTTCCACCAGCTGCTCGACGACGAGTCCGACCCTTTCGACATCCTCCGCGAGGCGGAGCGGCGCAAACAGCAGAGCAAGAAGCGCGAAGAGGCGGCCGCCGCTGCAGCCGCCCCCCCGGCCGGGAGGAAGCCCGGCCCGGGAGGAGCCGCCGCCGCCGCGGCCGCCGCCAAAAGGGAATCCCAGAAGGAGCGCAAAGGCGGCGCCTCTTTCCCGCAGCCGGAGAGCCCCTCAGCAGCGCCCGGTAGGGAAGGGACCCGGAGCGGGGCGTGGGGAAGCGAGGCTTCCCTCGGGCTTCGGGTCGGCTGCGCTGCCCGCGACGCCCTTTGGACGAGGGAGCCCTTGGGAATGAATTGGCCGGGGCGGGGGAAGGAGAATCCGGATTCGCCACTGCGAATGACATTGGACGGGGCGGGGGCGGTTCGGATTCATGGACGCGCAGCAGCAGCAGCAGCAGCGATCCCCGCGGCGCGCCTGCCCTCCTCTCGCCCCCGGCGGCTGCCAGCGCGCGCCTTCCGCGCAGGAGGGCTGCTTCCGCGCTCGCCTCGTGGCCGGCTTCCGACTCCTCCCTGCGCGGGCCGTGGGCGAGTCTTGCCGGCTGCGGAAGGGCAGGGCAGGGCCGGGCCGCCGCCTGCGTGCAAGGCGATTGTGGCGTCGGGCGGGGAGAGCGGCGCTTGGGATGAGGGCGCAAAGTTGCCTGGGCTCCGCCTTCCCGTTCTGGTCCCGCGGGCTGGCCGGCGCCAAGAGGCAGCGAGTCTTTCCCCCCGCCCGGCTTTGTCCCCGATTAATTCCGTCGGGGGAAAGTCGCTTGACGCCGAGCTGTCAGAAAGGACTCGCTGGGCAGCCTTCGGGGCTCCTTGATTCCTTGGGGATCAAGCCGATCTCCCAAGCCCTGAGCTCAGCAGTGCCCGGAACGAGGGGTGCTCGTGCTAGAGAGCTTTCTTTGCTGCTCTTGAGCTGAAGGTTTTGGAACAGGCTCCGATCAAGTTTTTGTCGCCTGCTCTTTGCATGCCAGACTGCACGTGTGGCAGGAGTGCCAACTTGAATAAAAAATGGGGGAAGGGGCAGATGACAAGGTGGTGCGCACACACACCAGTTGAATGGTAATGCTATAATAATAATAATAATTTATTATTTATACCCTGCCTATCTGGCTGGGTTTCCCCAGCCACTCTGGGCGGCTTCCAACAAAATATTAAAATACAATAGTCCGTCAAACATTAAAAGCTTCCCTAAACAGGGCTGCCTTCAGATGTCTTCTGAAAGTCTGGTAGTTGTTTTTCTCTTTGATATCTGATGGGAGGGCATTCCAGAGGTCAGGCGCCACTACCGAGAAGGCCCTGTGCCTGGTTCCCTGTAACCTCACTTTTTGCAGCAAGGGAACCGCTAGAAGGCCCTCGGCGCTGGATCTCCGTGTCCGGGCAGAAAGATGGGGGTGGAGATGCTCCTTCAGGTATACTGAACCGAGGCCACAATGCCCATCAACTTGGGGGGGGCAACCCCCGTCAGATATTTTATTGGAGGGGCTGAAGGGACCTCTGCCCCTAGGAGTTGGCTTCTGTGATTTGTGAACAACTCAGTTTGTGCAAGAGCACGTATGAGTCAGTGGGGGCAGTTGTATCTAACCCATGTGCCACTAGGAAGCCCGGATTGTGCTGAGAAACTAAGCTAAAACTTGACAGTTCCTAGAGCAGGGCTGAGTCATGAAACACTGTTGTGTTTTCCACCCCCACTTGCCAATTTATGAATAATGGCATTATTCCAAGGGAAAGATGCATCAGGTTCTTTGATGTAGCCTGCGTTGTCATTGCCCACAAAAGTTTGGCCATTCCAAGTGATTGGGCAGAGGGGATGTCTTAAGCTGGCATCAGAAAATCATTCATGAGGAGATGGCCGTATCCCTGTAGGGAAGGAGTTCCACAGGCAGGGTGTCGCCTCAGAACATGCTATCCTGTGTTGCCACAACGGCTGTAGCCGTTGGTGGAACCATGCAGAGGGCCTTTGCCATAGATCTCAAGACCCAGGCAAGCAAATGTAGGTGCTCCCTCAAGTACTGCTGATGAACAAAATACATGTATTTCTGTGAGCCTGTCTCCAATTTTAATCCAGAAAGAAAATGTGTGCCTTGTCAATCACTTGAAAAACATTGCAGCTTGGGATAACCAGTGTAGTAAAACCTAATACGCATTTTTACTGCACACAGCTTAATATAAAATTTCATGATGTAAAGATTTAGGTAAAAAAACAAACAAACTGCAGAATGGTTTAGCAGGTCACTTAAATGTAAAATTGGGTGTGAGACAAATTCATTTGTGCTTCGGAATACTTCTTGAATGTATTGGATCAAATTATGTACACAATATATATTTTTGCTGGCTGTCCCCAGTCTCTCGCTTTCTATATCCTGACTCTTCAATTTAACCAATTTGTACTTGGGACTGCCCAAAATCTTCATATGCCATGTCTCTCCCTACAGACACATATATGCAGAGAGATGGGATATCCATGGACTACGGCAATTGTTTCATCACAGCAGCACAGTTTTTCTGACACACAATAACATGAGTTGCTGCATCTGGCTGTGGTAGTGTGCTGATTGTTCCCTGTGGAAATCTGAACCCGGGACAACTGGGGTAGATCAGATGGAGAACATTTTATCATGTCTGAAGTGTCCTTCCTTCATTCTCCATTAAATTTACTGTTCACACAGAAGAGCAAAGGGGAAAGTATACAGACTCCTCTTTAGAGATTTGAATGCCTAAACTGTCCAGGTGTAAACTAGAGGCCAAGGATCACATTCCCTTGTAGTTAACTTTTTTGGGGGGTCTGGAGGCTGGTGGTGAGCAGCTGATGCAACTCTTAATATTTGTTCAGTGAGTTACAATCCCCCCCCACAAGTGAAGGGCTTTCAGGCAAGCAGTAGGTGTTATCAGACTGCAAGGACACCTTTTAGCCAGGCAAAACAAAAAAAATGCATAGGTTGCTTATAAGGTAATGTGGTTCTGCAGAGTTTCCAAAAGGGCTGGAGAGAGATGCCTGAAGGGCCACATTCACCCTTAGCCTAAATCAGTGGTGTCCAAACTTTTTTCAAAGAGGGCCAGATTTGATGAAGTGAAGGGCCATGGGGGCCCACCAAAATTGTTGACCTTTTTTAGGATTTTACCCCAAAGTTGTTGAGTTTCCTTTTGCATTGAAGTTGTTGAGGTGTTTTTTAGGATTTTACCCCAGGAAATAAACTGCCACAGGGGCCGGATTAAACTGACCGGAGGGCCAGATTAGGCCCCCGAAAAGGACTTTGGACATGCCTGGTCTAAATGGTAACATTGTCCAAAATCTGCAGGATTACGATCTGCTCTTCCCCTTTCCACAATGTGTGACCCTATTACTAATTGCGTCATATACGTGCTAACGTTGGCTATGGAACTGCCTAGCACAGCTGACTCTGATTGGCAGCTGCTGTTGAGAATCCCTGGAAGAGCATGTTTCTGAGACTAGCTACACAAGACTGTTGAACTGAAGATTGATTGATTGATTGATAGATTGATTGCATTTATAGCACACCTCCCCTCCCCCCACTGAGCACACAAAGTGACATACATGGTACTTAGTCCCCTTCCTCATTTTATCCCCACAACAGCCTGGTGAGGTAGGTTAGGCCAAGAGGCCCAAGATCATCCAGTGAGTTTCTGAAACGAGTGGGAATTAAAACCGTGGTCTCCTAGGTCCTGACACTCAGTAACCATGACACCACACTGGAATGAACCTTGGAAGCAGATCTCTATGCAAATCACATTCCACTTTAGGTTAGGTTGATACCTCTTAAGTCACACTATGTTCATTTCCCCCCCTCTTGAAATGTTGACATGGTGAAAAGGGCTTTGAATAGTTATTGGCTAAAAAGCAGTTGGGATTTAGTCGTTTTAGAACTTTGCCCATTCTCTGTTAGTGCTTCTTTACTAATAAGTTCCCTTATATCTTCTCCCGTCATATCAACAGTCTTTGGTAGCTGTTAGCTTGTTTTCACGTTTAATTTGTTAACTTTTTGTCTGTTTCCCTGGGTCGTTTTTCTCCCTGGGAATTAGTAGCTCTGTGCTGTTTTGATTCTTTCAGATGATGACAACATCTGAACTATCTCTTTCTGCTATCAATACATTTACATACAGGTTTGAAAAATCATGCAACTAGGACTGTTTAGGTAGTGCAACACTTCCTTCCAGCTGCAGTGCTCATCAGAATTTGGAAAGCGTGGGATATATTAAAGCCTCATAGTGTAACAAGACTTTTATACTGGTTTACTGGGATAGAATCCTCTCCTTAGAAATGGCTGGGTTAATATTGGGTTTTTGTTTTGTGAACTACCATGTGCTCTGTTGGATGAAGAAGAATTGTCTAAAAATTCAGCAGATAAATAATAGGTTTGGGCCCTAGCCCGAACAGTGGTCTGAAAGAGATTTGGGAGAAATTTGCTTCAAATCATCTCTCAATATAATGGCAAATTCAGGGGGGTCTTTTCTTTGTGAATGCAGTTTACCTGGTCACATGCAACTTTAATCCAGACATCATTGCTGATTTCTCCTTCCCCCCTCTTGTTTTTGCTACTTTGCATTCTCCGTGTGGAGGGTGGTAAACATTTGAAATCTAGGACTGCTTAGGTTTCTTTCTTGCCAGTAGTTGAGATGCTAACTTAAATTAATGATAAAAACTACAATCCTTTTTCAGGGTTGTAGAATTGGTTACACATTCAATTTCAGCTGTGTAGTCATAAGCACAGGTTTATTTTACTTGTAAAAATTACAGTCTTTAAAACATAGCTCTGTGTAATTATCTTAGGGTGTGTGTACACAAGCCTTTTAATATGTATGAGATTCAGCTAACTCAAATAGGAAACCATATAATTATAAAAGTAAACCTCTTGGGTTGTAGAAGAGCCCTTTGCTCGCTAAAGAGCTCTTAGTTCATTAAAACGTTTATTCTTTATGGCTTAAAATGCAGCTTCCTACATGATTATATAATGCAATATTATAGTGGGTATAATACATACTGAAGACTTTGAATGAATTGTTTGCCAGGACATATTTATAGTAAACATACACATGCTATGTCCTTAATTTCTTTAGACAATGGCCCCTCTCCTCACTAGGGAAGAAAGGGCAAGGGAAAATCAAAATCGGGAACAAGGGGAAAGAAAGATTGACATTTGGATCTGCTGTCCCAGTGGATCCTGCTTCCTGAGGCAGTTGCCTCACCTTGCCTTGTGGGTGGGCCGGCACTGGGTCTTGACATCCTTTGGACTATTGCAGCTGACCAGCCATTGAAATAAAATGGGTTCTTTTGGATTCTAGAAAAAACGGCTTGGCTCTGCTTGGTCATCAGTTGTTGATTCTGTGAAATGGCACTTTAGATGTCTTCATTCCAGAAAATTGCTGGGCTACAGAAAATGCTAGCACTGTGGAATAAGCCTTTATACATGCTGCTGCTTGGATTGTGGTCATTGGTAGCATGGCAGGATTCCTTTATGAAACATCTCTGGAAAAACAAGTTTTTCTTCCTCACATTGAAGGCTTGTAGGTAGTCACAGAAGATGAGAGATCTAACAAATTATGCAGAGAGGCCAAGATGAGGTAATGTCTCCCAACAGCCATTCCCATTATTTTTTTTCCATATATTGAAAGCTCCAAGTTCACTGGGAACAGGTTTCTTTCAGCACAGTATCTCATTATGTCCTTCCAGTTGTTTTATGACTCTTTAACTACCAAGCAAATAAATAAATAGGGTGTGATACTTAGCTGGTTGAGTGGTGATGCTGTAACTTCAGATGCATGATCCATAAGAAATCATTCATAGCAGCCAGTTCAGGGCACTGATTGAGTAGTTATTATTATTATTATTATTATTATTATTATTATTATTATTATTATTTTCTTTATACCCTTCCCATCTGGCTGGGTTTCATCAGCCACTGGGCAGCTTCCAGCACATATAAAAACATAATAAAACATCAGACATTAAAAACTTTCTGATAGAGGGCTGCCTTCAGATGTCTTCTAAAAGTTGTGTAGTTCTTTATCTCCTTGACATCTGATGGGAGGGCATTCCACAGGGAGGGTGCCACTACTGAGAAGGCCCTCTGCCTAGTTCTCTGTAACCTCACTTCTCACAGTGACAGTGAGGGAACGGCCAAAAGACTCTCAGAGATGGACCTCGGGGCTGAATGATGGCAGTGGAGATGCTCCTTCAGGTATATCAAGCCAAGGCCATTTAGGGCTTTAAAGTTCAGCACCGACATGTTGAATTGTGCTCGGAAACGTACCGGGAGCTGGTGAAGATCCTTTAGGGCCTGTTTAACCATTCTTGGCTTGCCCGTTAAAAGTACAGATTTACCGTATTTTTCGCACCATAGGGCGCACTGGATCATAGGGCGCACCCTGTTTTTAGGGGGGGAAATCAAGAAAAAAATCTTCCCCCCCCCCCAGCCCCAAAGAGCAGCGTACAGGCTGCGCACAACCTCTTCCTGCCGGAGGGGTTGCGCGCAGCTATGGCACAAGCCAAGGCAGCGAGCAGGATGGATCCCGCTCGCTGTTTTGGCTTCCTCTTTAGCCCCGCGCAACCTCTCCTTGCCGGGAGACGCAGCGCAGGGCTAAAGAAGCATAGCCCCGTGCAGCCTCTCCTTGCCGGAGGGGTTGCGCGCAGCTATGGAGCAATCCAAGGCAGTGAACTGGATGGATTCCGCTTGTTGTTTTGGCTTCCTCTTTAGCCCCGTGCAGCCTCTCCCTCCCGGGAGAGGCTGGTGGGGCTAAAGAAGCCATAGCCCTGTTCAGCCTCTCCCTGCCGGAGGGGTTGTGCGCGGCTATGGCACAAGCCTGCATTCGCTCCATAGGGCGCACACACATTTCCCCTCAATTTTTGGAGGGGAAAAACTGCGTCCAATAGAGCGAAAAATACGGTGTTTCCTGCGTAATCACTAGCACATCTTCCTTGTAATCTGCAAACTCTCCTCATCTTCTTGCTAAGATTTTTGCTATACACCAATAGTATTTGTATTTCCTAATAGGCGTTTAATATTGCTTGTTGGAATTGATGGAATAGTTTCATGCATCTCTGGGAGTATGAATTTTACAGGGGTTTTCACAGTTGACCCTACTAGTTGTGATATCTGCAGTTTGTATATTTTAGTTGGGAGTCCCTCATTCTGAATACTGGAAAGCTTCCTCTGTTATTTTCATATAAATTGCACAAAACCTGCCCCCTTTGATAGCTGAGCTTTCTTGCCGAGTTGCTTGTATTGAATTTGTAAAGCCCAGTCAACAATTGTGAATGTCTGTTTGCTGTTAATGGTACCTTTGAACCAGATTTGGGCTTGAAAATAATTTTCCTTTTTTTTATTATCAGTTGCGTACTGTCAAGCTTTATGCTGTACACTGAAAATTGTAACACTTAACAACAGGCTGTGAAATGAAGCTGAACAATCACTTTTTTCTATACATTTTGAAGTTTTGTTTAGCTTAGTTTATTATTTGTACCTTGAATTTTGACCAAAGGTTTTCAAAGTGGCTTGCAAAATAAAAATAGAAGTCATACTCAGAGTGGACCCATTTACAACAGTGGTTTAAGTTACTTACGAGTAACTGAACTGAACCAATTTCAGTAGGCTTACTCTGTGTAGGACTAAATTTGAACCACTCACAGAAGACATCTAGATAAGTAAAATAAAACAAATAAAAAGTACATCAAGAAATTCAAGTGAGCAGCATAAATACAAAGACAAAGATAAAAATAGCTGGGCATTAGAAAAGTGCACTTATTTATTTCATACAATCTATATGCCGCTTGATAGTTTTTTTAAAAAAGCCCACCTCAATGTGGTTTACAAAAAGAATGAAACAAAATTATTGGTAGTAACAATATAAAGTTGTTATTTAAAATAATTCAAAATTATTAATTTAAATTAGCACTGAACTAAAAATGTATTAAAACAAATCAATATTCTACATATTTTATTTATTTTACTTCGTAAAGTATTTATTAAATATTAGGTGTTAACAGATGGTAGAAAACAAACTAGCAGACACAGTTCAAACTACTGTACATTACAACAGCCTTCACTAACCTTTTGCCTTCCCATTGTGTTGGGCTCAAGTCTCCATACTGACTGGCGCTGATGGGGTTTGTGATCCAGGGTATAGGAGGGCCCTAGGGTGATGAAGACTGCTTTCAAATCTGATTGGAATCTAGGTGTCTTAGTTAACAGCCAGTAGTATTGTGTGATTCTCATAGTTCATTTACCTAATAAAATCATGTTTGTTCTGTACCCACAGGCCAGAAGCGAGCTCCAAAAAGGGGAGAACAGCAGGGATGGAATGAAAACCGAGGCACAGAGGTAAAGCAAGATAAAGCTGAGTGGAGACCTTCTTTCAGGGAGTACCGTCCTCATGAAATGGAAAGACAAGCGGAGTTAACACTAGAAAGGTATGCGCTGTTGGAGGAGGTATAAAAATGGCACCCAAAAGGACTTTGCGGGTTCATTTTTCAAGCCACCAGTTGGCTAGACCTGTGACTGATGGTTCCTAGAGATGTTCCACCACAAAGATGTTCCACCACAAATGTTTTCATTCTGTTCTTGGTTGGGTATCCCCACATGCCTGAGTCTTGGAATTCTAGACTACATTATTCCTTTTCATGCTTCAAACTTGCTTTCAGCTAAATTGATTGCTTACGTGACCTGGAGTCGCTTTGTCTTGTAAATGTGACTCTGGTTTACGTATCTGGAGCAGAATGTTCTCTTGAAAAGACAATAAATTCAGGCGGTTGTTTTATCACAGCAGTATGTAAAAAACAAAGAGAAAGCTCTTGGGTTTCTGAATTGCTCTATCATACTTTGTGGTGTTGGGACCGCACCTAGATTTGTGGGTTGGTTTTGTTTCTGTTTAAAGCACATCTTACAGCTTGTTGAACTCGAGTGGGAGGGGAGTGAAATGTTCCGCAACCTCTCTGAACCACTGGCTGCTTATTAGAAAAGAATTCAAATAGCAGCTCAGAACCAGAGTTGTCTTGTGTGAGAAGAAAGGACTTGGCTGCAGCAGCATGTATCAAGACATCCCAATTTGCTTGTATCCCTGCAGGCCTCCATGCCCCCATCACGCTCTGTTCCAGAGGGTTCCTTAACCTTTGAGAGCAGATTACAGTAGGGTAGAAGAGCCAAAAAGGATAAACGTCATAGGCAGAATTCCACTTCTTAAGATTGTGGCCTTTGGAAGAAATCTTCACAATTGCTTATGTTTTCTAGGTAATAGCAGCTGTGGCGATCACACACAGGGCCCCCGGACGTTTGACGGTCTATTGACCCTGTGCCGCCACTGCGATTGCTTTTTCTGCTGCCACCACCCCGTATCTCACGGGGACACACGGAGTCCAGTCAGTTGTTAACATAAACAAATAATCAAGTTTATTTTTAAATGCAGGAACAAGCTTATGGTTTCAGTTAGTTTCTCTTGACAGTTTCTTAAACTTAGTTCCTAACAACTCCAAACTGATTATTCCAACTATCTATCTGACTCCACCTAACAATTCCTCTCACTCTCTCACAATACAACTCTACCAACCCACACCTAAACCTCCCTCTTCCTTCTCAACTCCCAAACCTCAACTGACTTTCAAAACCTCCCACTCTAACTTTTATTCCCCCCTTGCATTCTCACTGGCCAATCACATCACACCCATTTTAACCCTTTCCTATGACCCATCCTAGGAGGCAAACGGCACAGCAGCAAAATGAAATCTGCTCATTACCACATTGGACAAAAGGAATGCAGTTGCAGCTTTGATTTAGTTTTGTGAACTTCCATGGGGAAATCAACGTGCTGCCATCTGCCTTATTGCAGGGCAGATATGTGGGTAAACCATATGTGGAGCGAGTCTGCCCCTGAGGCCTGATAGAGGTGGAAACCATCTCCCATGTTTTGCTACGATACCACTTTTAGGAGGATATACGCTTGGTCTTTATCACCCCTGTTATACAGAAAATTCCAAGTGGGTCTGAACCTCAAAGCTTAAAATCCCTGATAGAGGATCAGGATCCAGAGATCACGCCAAGGGGTGGCCAGATTTTGCGTGGCTGCCATAAAACTCAGGGAACAAGCCTTGCTGTTACAAAGACTAAGGCCTCAGATGCAAACCCTAGATAATATTTTAGAAACTAAGACCTAAACCACATTTCTAATGGCCGTCATAGTCGTATTGTTTATTGTTACATTTGATTGTAAATTCAAACTTAATTCTATTGTGTTTTATGTTCGTTTAGTATGGTTTGTGAATCGGGTCTGGGACCGCAATAAACTTCCTTTCATTTCCATGGGGAAAACATCAGAGCTGTAAGGTTAAACCCTGCTGGATTGGGGCAAAGGCCCATCTAGTTCAACATCCTGTTTTTGCAGTGGTCAACCAATGAGAAACCTGCAAGCAGGAACTGGGGCCAACGCTGCTTTGTGGTAGCAGCTGTTACTCAGAAGCATACCAATGATGGTCATCTTTTCTTTGGATTTGTTTAATACCCCTTTAAAGCCACCCAGATTGGCAGCCTCTGTCTGTCCTGAATCATCCAATTTCATTGGATGGCCCTGAATTTGAGTACAGTCAAACCTCGGTTCTCGAACGGCTCCGTTTTTGAACGTTTCAGCGCCCGAACGCTGAAAACCCGGAAGTTAATGCTCCGGTTTTCAAATGTTCCTTGGGACTCAAATGCCTGACACTGCTTCCGCTTGAATGCAAGAAGCTATTGTAACCAATCAGAAGCGGCGTCTTGGTTGTCGAACGTTTCAGAAGTCGAACGGTCTTCCAGAACGGATTACGTTCGACAACCGATGTTTGACTGTATTATGAGGCCCTATCCGCTTTTTCAGTCTACGCCGTGTATAATTTTAACGCAATTAAATGTCTTGCATGTAATGCTTTGCTTTTCTATTGCATCTCAACGGTGTTAACCTATTGAAGATACGTTGGGTCAAGCTAAGGTGAATTGTATTTCAGACCAATAGACCGATTTGATCGGGAAAGGCCAATGAGAGGTCGTGGGGGAGGAAGAGGTGGAATGAGAGGCAGAGGAAGAGGTGGTGGAATGAACAGGACTTTCAACGGCTTTGATCAAAGAGGGAAACGGGAATTTGACCGACAGAGTGGAAGCGACAAAACGTAAGTGTGCTGGTTTAGTACCTTAACAGCATCTTAGTAATACTGGGGGGTGGGTGTTGTGAATTTGCATCTGTAACCAACCTTTTGGACAACCGTTTTATACAAATATTTTTAATTTCCAAAAACGGGGACTAAAAAGAATACGATTTATGTCTCTAGAGGAGTCCGAGCAGAAGACAAAAGGGGTGGAAGTGGACCTCGCAACTGGGGAGCAGTTAAGGATGATGTGAGGTATGACAGTGTTTTAGTAGTTATATCCTGGATTGTAGTCTTGTTGGAACACGGTTTCCAAGCTGTATGGTCATAATCTATCATTTACGAATGCCGCCTCCCAGCTTTCAGATCTTGCATCTAAGAAACAGGCAAAAATTCCGGAATCTTGATGCTAGTGTCTCTTTGCTAAGTTTTTGGATTCTGTTGAACCTTCCTAAAATCTCTGCTAAAAGTATTGTGATATTTCTGTCATCAAGTTACTGGCACACAATGTGTTAGTTGCCAAGACTGATATTGTTTGAGGATGATCCCATCTCTCCAGTGAGACACTAAGGTGTAGTTATTCTGAACAGCCTGTATGAGTACACTGCAAAGTATAGTTTTTTGTTTCCGACGAGTTCACTTGGTGCACTTCATGTTTCTGCAGTGAGCTGGAACAGACTGCTCCTATGGAAGAGACCGCAGAAACAGAAGAGAACGCAGGAGCACCTGAAGGAGAATCTCCAACCAAGTATGGGCTGGTTTTGAACATCTTGCTCTTGTTATTAAGTCGTTATTGGAAAACACGGCCCATTGTCTAGCATCATGCAAGTGGTGCAGATCAAATTTGGGCAAGCTGTACCTTGAATGTCAATGCAACATTCTGCAACAGGCTTGCCCACGTTGTGACCCACGCTGGGCGACTTCATTAAAAAAACTTGGGGCAGGCTATGTGATAAGTACCTGGCAATGTTACATTTGTAGCTGATCTTAGTCCTATTTGGACCCCTTGAAATTAATGGATATGAGTAATGTAGGTTTATTTATTCTAATGGACCTGGCTTGAGTATGACTTAAGTTAGATACAAACCTTGGTGCATATAATTTCTTGTGCAAATTCTGACTTTATAAGACTTGCATTTCTTTCCTTGGCAGCTAAACCTAATTTTCTGTTTTAAAGCTTTTCTGATAACTGAGTTCTCTTGAAACTGTTAAGGCAGATAATGCATCATCAATCAATCAATCAATATGCCCCAGCCACTCTTCTCTGGTTGGTGAAGATTGCATTTAGTGTCACATTTGGCAAGACTGTTCTCCCAGTTAGCTATTTCCGTTGTGTAACTAGCAGCTGAATTATTGCCACAGCCATAACATATCCATGTTCTATTGCATCCAAGTATTCTATCAAATACCTGTATATATTGTTCTGCAAAATATACCCATCCAGTAGCATATGTCAGGCTAATTCCCTGCAGGGAATAAGAACTATTATGTGTTTCTCTTTCCAGTGACAAATGCTTGAAATAGGTATATATGAGCATGCAAGCTCTTAAAGCGGTTTGTGGGTTAGATAGATATCTCAGATGTTTCTTGGGTGTGCTTGCGTACAGCTAGTAAACCTAATGTACTTATAACGGTTTTGATCTTGGACTCGCTATCGCAATACTGAACAGCAAAAGTCAGTGTTTTAGAAACTGGTGAAATGATAGGCATCTGCTGCTGTTACAATATGGAAAAAGTAAGGTTCATGTGTATCATTGACTTATGTAATGGTTAACAATAGTGGTGGAATCCTATAGATCATGAGTGGCTAACCTTTTTGGGGCCTGAGAGCCATATTTGCTTTTGGCCAACTTTCTGAGGGCCTCTTGGGAGCAGTGGGCAGAAGCAATAGTGGGCGTGGTCAAAAGTTTGTGGATGTGAACACTCACACAAACATACAGGCACATGTGGGTAGAAACCAGGGTGGATAAAAATCAATGATTTTTATAAATAAATAATAAAACAAGCAAATAAATAAATAAATTCTGTTCCAAAACCAAAGCGTTCCAAAACCAAGGCATGCTTTCCTATAGAAAGTAATGCAAAGATGGATTAATCTGTTCCAGACTTCTAAAAACAACCCCTAAAACAGCAGTTTAACATGAATTTTAAGATCTAACGCGAAACCATTGATCCATAAAATGAAAGCAGTAATCAATGTACTGCAGTCACACAAGCAATCAATTAGTAGCTGAACTGGGTTCCACACAGTCACAAAAACAAGAACAAAAGAGCTGCAAAAATGAAAACGCAAAATAAATAGCAAAAACAGACCTCAGCATAACATTCAAAATGGAAGCATGGCACTCAAAACGGAGCACATTCGGCTTCTGAAAAAAGTTCACAAACTGGAACACTTACTTCCGGGTTTGCAGTGTTTGGGTTCCAAGTTGTTTGAGAACCAAGGTACCACTGTATTGGAAATTTTGAGTTCCAGAATTTTGAACCCATGAGGGAAGTATTGACATGCTATGGGGAACATCAAGGTCTGCAGGAGTTGAAAAGAAAAACCTTCAGGACTCTGTTTCAGTTACCCTATGAGTTCTCTGTATGCTCAATGGAGTGCAGTCTGTTGTGGTGGAATGGAGTAGCTTGGAAGGGGGAATGGCTGGCTGGAACAGGAGCATTCCATACTGCAATAGTTTGTAGCAGCTTCCTCTCACTGATGCAAGCTCTGCATACCGTAGCTTAGAAAGGGAATCTTCAATTTCAGCGCTCTGTGCCTTCAATTTTACTCTGCCTTTCCCTTCTTGCCATCCTAGAGGCTAATGGTTTTTACTTAAACCCTTAGAGTTGCTGAAGGAGAGCCTGTGGAAGAAGTAGTTCAAGAGATGACGTTGGATGAGTGGAAAAATCTTCAGGAGCAAAGTCGACCAAAGCCTGAATTCAACATCCGGAAGCCTGAAACCACTGTTCCTTCTAAAGCAGTGGTGATTCACAAGTCAAAATATAGAGATGATGTAAGCAAAAACTTAGATTTTAGAGGGTTATTCCTTTCAACCCTATGTTTTTTAAAAATCGCTTTATTATGCTGAATCATACTGAGAGATAGTCTGAACAGATGAAACATTATTAGAATATCTTACATGTCTTCAGAATTGCTCAAGTTTTTTTAACTTCTTCATAGTTGCATTGAGGATTAGATGATAGGCAGATTCTTTTCAAAAGCACCAAGATTTAAGCTTATAAGACCCAGGCAACCTCCTCTGCAACACCTGATAAACCCCAACACTTTGATTTTAGGCGACTTTGCCATTTGCTTGTATTGAGCTTGGAGACAACCAACAACTTATCAACATTCATTTCTGTGTTGTACAAACCATGGTTAAAAGTATTTACAGTGTAGCATCTTCGGCAGAGCACATTGACTACCCTTTTTGCAAAGGACAAAAAGTTGGCTATTAAAATGCCAAGATAATAGGCATGTTGTCATCTCTATAACATAGAGACAAATTATTGTGTTAGTAAGGAGCGTCCTGCAGCCAATCGGAAGCTGCACTGGATGTTCGGCTTCTGAAAATCGTTCGAAAACCGGAACACTCACTTCCGGGTTTCGATAGTTCGGGAGCCATTTTGTTTGGCTTCCAAGGTACGACTATAAAATGTTTAACAGTATTAGTACACTTTTGAGAGCAACTTGTCATTAGCGGCAATTTAAATAAAAGAGCTGTCTTCTCTCACATACCTTACGGCAGGCATAGGCAGACTTGGGCCCTCCAGATGTTTTGGGACTACAACTCCCATCATCCCTGACCACTGGTCCTGTTAGCTAGGGATGATGGGAGTTGTAGTCCCAAAACTTCTGGAGGGCCGAGTTTCCCTATGCCTGCTGTAAACCCCATTATAGGTCTCCACTGGGTCAAAAGATGTGAGAACATTGTAGCAATTTTTGGGGTTGGGCTTTTTTGTTTTTGTTTAAAAAGCTGCAACCGTTTCCTTTTCATGTCCCCCTTTCACAGCTCCTAGGAAGCGTCTGGTGGGTGCTCCTTTTTTGTGGGGGGGGGGGAAGAATTCAGGTTGTGTGTTTATAATCTAGATAAATTCTGTTCTAGGTGCTGAAGGAGGATTTTGAGGATGATGCTCACTTTTTCCGGAAAGCAGCAAACGACATCACTTCTCAGCTGGACATTAATTTTGGGAACCTGCCTCGTCCGGGGCGTGGAACTAGAGGAGCCCGGGGAGGTCGCGGGCGTGTCCGGAGAGTTGAGGACTCAGGAGGACACAGGCCGGAAGTGATGGTAATTATTAGTGTGTTGTGCTAAGCCCTCCTTCCCAGATCTAGCGAATGAAGACTGAGTGGTTCACCATAGTTTAGACCAGGGGTTGGCAAGGTTTACCTCACCTGGGCTGGTTCACTCCAGCAGAGATCTCTCCGTGGGCCGAATCGCATGTGCCCGCGTGTCATTTCTGACAGATGTGATTTCTGGCATCTGCGCAGACGCGATTTCTGGCATCACAGAAGTGAGTCCCTGTGCTGCGCTGCGCTGCGCCGGTTTAATACAGCGCGCACGGACTCGCCGAGTGGGCAACTCGGTTTGGGGACGGCTCGTGGGCCGGTTAAACGACCCCGTGGGCTGCTTGTGGCCCATGGGCCTTAGGTTGCTGACCCCTGGTTTAGACAGATCACTAGAACTCGATTATGTAGATTTGTCAAATTCTCAGGAACTTCTACTTTTTAAAAACCATCTGGAATAAAATAGGTTAGGAATTCATCTGAGTTCTCTAGTAGTTTGGAGAAAATAGAGCGCTTGAGACCTGTCTGTAGACTCAAGAGGCAAGGAAATCTAAATTTATGAGCCCACTGCTGCTTCAGGACCACAACCACCTGATGGGCTCACCTGTGTGGGTGGAAATTAGGAGTTCTGGTTGGGAGGATGCCATAACGTGCACTGTTGGTGGGGGGAAAGAGCAATAAAGGAGGCCGAATTTAGAATAAAATGAATGACTAATTCCACTTCTATCCTGCCATTGCAAAAGTTTGGCCATAGATCTCCCCCCCCCCCACACACACTTTTATTCCCACAGCTGTTGAGGTAGGCCAAGAGTGATTGACCTAAGGACGCCCAGTTGAACTTCTTGTGGTTGAATTGTGGTCACTTTGAATTCTAATTCAAATTTAAATGCTATAGTTGTGAATTTTCAGACTCTTCAGAATTTAAGAACTTGGGCTTTACAAATATTTTTATTAAAAATAATAATCAGCTGAGCATGCAGGAGAAATCCTGTATGCCTAATGTACACAGACACCGTCCATCCATTGTTTAATAGAGATTTACAGTAAATAATACTTGGGTTTGAAGGTTGCAGTGCCAAAATGGAAACTGAGATGAACAAGAGTCAAATTTTATGGGCATCTCAGGGTCTAGATAACACCGCCAGTTATTTATCTAACTAGCAGAAAGGTTTTGAGATGTGCTCTTCTTCCTTTTAGATGCACGTCACTGCTCCAAACCCCGATGACCCCGAGGATTTCCCTGCTTTAGCTTGAAAGAACTGAATAATGGCGCCTCAAAAGTAGCTGTGACGATAACAGCTCTATGTTGCTGTGGAAGAATATCATCCAAGCCTACAGAGAGAGATGACTTATGTGTGTGAATTTTGCACTTCTATTGTGTTAAGCGCCTAGACCTATCCTGTGGGCTAGGAGGCAAGGTTGAGCACCACTGTTTGGGGATTAGCTTTGTGAAGGCTTATGGTATCGTACGTGAGGGCTTTCAAATAAAGGTTCAAGGTGATGGTGTCAAAACAAGTACTCTTTGTCCATGGTGTCACAAATGTAAGCTAAACCAGACTGGGTGGTTTTTGGGTGGTTGTTTTTTTTGAAAAAAAAAAGGATTGTTTTGATGGCAAAACCCCATAGGCACTTGGCAGCTGTTTTTCTGACCTGAGTGAAATGTACCTTCGCCTATGCAAAGCAATTGCACAATTTTGAGAGGTTAGCAAATAAACAAAAGCCTGCTCATTGGTTGGGGTGTGAGGTGGTATTTTCACAGCGATAACTCTTCTTACTCCATAACGCTCGGAAGCTGCAAGCTGCTGTGTTTACGGTTTCATTTCCAGTTTGGAGAGTGGGTTTCTTGGGAGTGAAGGGTGACCAGAGAAATAACTGAGAAGCCCTGTGGGTGGGCTGGATCCCTGCAGACTGCTGGCGAGGTCCCGCAATGCGGGAATGTTTCCTCCATCAATAAACATTCATACACGCAGAAACTTAACTAGATAAGTGAGTCCAGTTAGAACTCTTGTTCTCTGCGGAGGCTGCTTTTTTGGGGTATGGCAGTGTGTTCCTTCCTGTGAAACCATACTTGAAGCTCTCTGGCCTTAGACAACTTTATACCACTTCAGTGAGGCTACTGACATATGAAAGTTTTATACAGGATTAATCAATACATCACTACTCGTTGGCATTTCATCTACAATTGTAACAGCCTCCGTGTGCTTTGTTGACCCTTCTGAAATTGCACCGGGTTGTGTTCATCCAGTTTGGGACTAGGCTTGAAGGCTTTGCAGCTTCCTTGCCTAATTAATGAAAAAATGCCCATCTTATTTTGCAGGAGTTACACTAATCACTGTAGCTAATTTAGGTGTGGGTACTTGTGAGTGTTGTACTTGGGCATTCGCTTTGAAATACAGAATCCCTCAAGTAGCCCCAGGTAAAAGGGTTATTCTGTAATGCATGTGAATTTAATTATGGCTCCCTTGCAGCTAAGGCATGGATACAAATTCCTCCAGAGCGAGACAGTCTACCAAGAAATTGTTTCCCCTTGTATGGAAAGGACCAGTGCCTTTTTATACCAACACTACACATTGCAGAGCCTGATATAAGCAATATATTTTATTTGTATACAGTTCTCTTATATGTCAGTATTTATATAATCAAATTACACTGGTTTAATAAGAAACACACACTATCAGATCAAATTTCCAAGATAGTATTAATTTACCCTTAAAATACCTTTAGCAAAATAAACTTCCTTTCTTGATTTCTTTAAAAAATATTTTTTGCTTTAAAAAAAGATGAGCAGTATTGATTACACCACATATTTGGAACAAATGATCTGTACAAGAGTTTCCAAGGCAATACATATAAAAACTGTAGGGCAACATATATTGGAAATACAAGTGGCAACTCTGGGTGGGGTGGGGGAAGGCTATGTTTTTGTCCAGTTCTGAAACAGCACAGCTGTTGTCATAGCAGGTGGATGTTTGAGAATGACCTTGCCCTAAGTTGGCAAGTTTGAAAACTGTGCTGCAGTTGTGATAAACCAGTACTGACTTGGAATAATTTCAGGGGGTGGGGTTTGTGTGTACCTAGAAGGCAAAACCAGTAGCTGAAATGGCATTCATTTAAATAGCTCTATAAAAGCCCAAACTAAATCAAATGATGCAGAAGAATTGTGAACCCTCTTTAGTTTACAAGCCTGGAAAATGCAACAAACCCCACTTTAGGCATGAAAAAGGACTGAGAAACACAAGAATATATTTTTCCAGCTGACTTACCAGACTGTGTCCCTCAAAGATGGTTTGAGATGTCTAAGACCTGGAACTAGAGTTCCACAAAAACTACCAAACTTTACATGAAGTAAGAGCAGTGGTTTTCAAGTGGCTGTTGTTGCAATGGCGCTCCCATTATTTATATTTGCGTTATTAAGGAACAGGAGAATTGTGTGTGTGAGAAGTGTGTATAGTAAAATGTTCAGGGCTTAAGAGAAGTCATCTCTCCAAAGTTTGGTGGCTAATAGCAAATGCAATTCTGTACACACATGGCAGTAAACACCGCTGAAAACAGTGGGGCTTCTAAAGCAAACATGCCTAGGATTCGGCTGTTAATGATTGAGCTTCTCCATGCAACTTAAAGGTAAAGGTACCCCTGCCCGTATGGGCCAGTCTTGCCAGACTCTAGGGTTGTGCGCTCATCTCACTCTATAGGCCGGGAGCCAGCGCTGTCCGCAGACACTTCCGGGTCACGTGGCCAGTGTGACAAGCTGCATCTGGCGAGCCAGCGCAGCACACGGAACGCCGTTTACCTTCCCACTGGTAAGCGGTCCCTATTTATCTACTTGCACCCGGAGGTGCTTTCGAACTGCTAGGTTGGCAGGCGCTGGGACCGAAAGACAGGAGCGCACCCCGCCGCGGGGATTCGAACTGCCGACCATGCGATCGGCAAGTCCTAGGCGCTGAGGTTTTACCCACAGCGCCACCCGCGTCCCTCCATGCAATTTAAAGGTCTTCTAATCTTTATAGGCCAACATTTAAGGTTTTGAGTGTGGGGAGTGGAAGTGTGGCTGAACAAAATTTGGAGAGAAGCCAGCTAGTAAAACAGTAAGCTTTGTGGACTAACAACAGTTGTGGACTGTTAAGTAATCTTTCCTTCTATCAAGGCCTTGCTGCTAATTTAGTTAAGTGAAGGCTCAAGCAATTCTGTCTTGGGTGTCAACCTCCCAGGATCAGTCTATCTTCTCCCATGGGACATCTTAAGCATTTCCTCTCAAGTTAAAGCAAAAAGCTGACATGGACTCTGTCTACCCTACACTGCAAGAAGCTACCAAATAGCCCTTATGTTCAGGCCTCGGATAACTGAAATATTGTTGCTTGTCTGTTTTTAGTAGTATTTGTATTTTCTACATTGGCTATCCCGTAAATTAGTGCAATATTTTCAAAGACAACAGGAGGAACTCTTCTGCGGTTATGTTGTAGAGAGGAATTGCAGTCCCAAACTTCAAGGGAATATTTATGTCACTGAAGGAAAAACCCCACTAAGTAAAATGGGGGGGGGAGGGATTGATGATCTCTTTTGAAGATGAATATCATCCCTACGCCTTTTGCAGTCCTGTAAGATCTGAATTTGCCCAAAACTGATTAGTAGACAATCGTTTCTTTCCCCCCAGCAACTCAGAGAATTGACAAGCCAAGGCTATATATCTAGTAGGCTGAGATCTCGGCTAATCTTTATCCCCTGCCTAATGGGATTCAATAGGCTTACATTTTGGAACTCAAAGGTAATTAACATGGAATGACAGAGTTGGAAGGGACCCCAAGGCTCTTCTAGTCCATGTACTTACCATAACTCTCTGGTAGCAACGCCCATTGTAAGGAAAGGCCAGAGTTGCTGTTCTAAAAGCAAATTATATTCCCATGAAGGAACTGGGCTTAGTTTTTTTTTTATATAAAGTAAGTTATGGTTCCAAATAAACTACCTTCTCACATCCTAAAATTCAGGCCCCTATGTATGTATATACTGATCTTGAGTATCAGTCCATTTGACACGATCAGGGGTTGGCAAACTTTTTCAGCAGGGGGCCGGTCCACTGTCCCTCAGACCTTGTGGGGGGCCGGACTATATTTTGGAGGGGAAATGAACAAATTCCTCTGCCCCACAAATAACCCAGAGATGCATTTTAAATAAAAACACACATTCTACTCATGTAAAAATACCAGGCAGGCCCCACAAATTACCCAGAGATGCATTTTAAATAAAAGGATACATTCTACTCATGTAAAAACACAGAGATTCCCAGACCGTCCGCAGACCAGATTGAGAAGGCGATTGGGCTGCATCCGGCCCCTGGGCCTTAGGTTGCCTACCCATGCTCAAGATTAACATTTTCTCATTACTTTTAGCAGACTGTATCTATTTGGATCCTCTTACTCACCTAGCTATACTGGACAAGATAAATGCCCAATATGAAATGAGTAGCAGCAGGCGACTAGACCTTGAGAAGCTTCCCAGTTACTTGCTGTAGATCCATTGGGCAGAAGGTGGCTTGGTCCCATGACCAAGTAGCTGGGGATGATGAGAGTTGTAACCCAAGCATTGGAGGGCGACAGAGACATTACAAAGTCCTTACTCATAAATCACCTTTGCAGAGTAAGGGGTGGGGACTGGTAAGGGGAGGCTCACCTTTTTGTAATTCTAGTATTTGGTACCATGTACACAGGCTGTGAAACCAAATATTGGCTCTATCAGTCCAGCATGATGTAGAAACATCACATTCTTTCAAATAATCTCCACGCATGAAGTCTGCAGATTCTTAAATGAAAACCGCTACACCATGGAGAAATTCTGTAGTAACATGAAGCAGCACAGTGATTTAAAGTAGAATGCTGGAAGTTACAGGCCATGAATAAGGGAACCAATTTTACCGAATGTGTCCATTGTGGCAGTGAGAATTCAATCATAACATTCATGAAACTATAGCTGCATTTCTTGGCAACTGTTAGCAGCAACTTCTTCATGGAAACTATGATGGTTAGCAGCTTGCTCAATGTCAAGTGGCTAGCAGTCTCTTAGCAGATTTCTTTTTGCTAACCCCACAGGGGCAGATACACCCCCCCCAGCCAAATCCTAAGGCACAAAGCCAACGCCCTACTTAAAAAGTAGTAGCAACTGCCCTTAAGTAGATAGGTGTTCTTGTGCCAATTTCTGGCTCCCACAGCAATTTTTCCCTAGGCAGGAAAGAGCAGAGTGGAAGAAAGGCAGCATTCCTGGAGCAGGATTGTACCGCGCCTCCTGTCCCTTTAAGATCTAACAAGGTGGCCAATGCAGCTGTCAAAGTGCTATGTCCAATAACAAAGGACAGAAAGCAGCATCATGGTGCTTTGGCCCCGTTCTTCCAACTTTTTAAAGCCACAAATGAAAATTAGCTTAGGATGCTCCAGGTACACTTGCCTCCAGGGCTGCTACTACTGCTTCTCCATTAAAAAAAGTAATTTAAAGATGCAGTGTGTCAGACAAGGGGACAAAGAGGCTATTGCAACTCCAGTCAGAGCTCCGTGCTAGAGCCCATGCATTTCTATTCAGAAGGTCCAGTTCAATCTCTGGCTTCCCCAGGTAGGGCTGGCGTATAGACTCCTGTCTGAACCCCTAGGTAGGCCAGGCATGGCCAAACTTGGCTCTCCAGCTGTTTTGGGACTACAACTCCCATCGTCCCTAGCCAGCAGGACCAGTGGTCAGGGATGATGGGAATTGTAGTCCCAAAACAGCTGGAGTACCAAGTTTGGCCATGCCTGCTGTAGGCTTGGAGAGAGACTTTCCTAGCATTGCTTTTATAGACATGAGATGGTGTGTGTAAATATCTGCAAAGAAAGAAAAGTTACTAGGAAGCTCACCTTGCCTCCTGCATTTTGGCCCAAACCAGTAGTGTTAGGATAGTTTTTCTCTACCCGCACAGGAGAACAACTTTCCAAAGCGGCCCTAAAATACGGCACATACAATCTTTACATTTAAATTAGAAGCAGTAAGTAACACAACAGACAGTGGTGTAACTTGGAAGAGAAAAAAGTAGAAACCCCAGAAAACAAAAACATGAAAATAAATCACAATTTGATGGACGCTAGTTTAGTAGTCTGTTACCGCTTTATAAAAATCCTACTAAAATTAGGATAGTCAAACTTTTATGGAGCTGTTTATGGGGGGGGGGATGAAGTATCACTTCTCTCCGCCTAGGGAGAGAAATTACATTGATAACTTACATATGTCATTCCAAATAGCTAAAATGCCACAGTCGTCTTGGTGGTTGACAGAAGCTAGATGATTGCCATCACATTTTATACATGAGCGCTGTACGGAAAAGAAAGCTCTTTTGATAACAAGAGTTATTCAGACCGAAGGCTAAAATTTACACGCTGCTTTTTATATTTGGGAATAATTTCCTAGCATTAAAAGTAAAAACGGTACAGTTTACAGTAATTTAGGGTCCTCACACAAAAAGTTCTCTTCACAAAACTAAAACGTCTTCCAACTAAATATAAAAAATAGACCACTGCTTTTTATATATATACAAAACAGTTTCTTCCAATTGTTTTAATTGCAGCAATGTCCTGTTGTTTCCCTTGAATCCTCTTCCACTCTGATTGCTTTTAACGCAACACAGTTCTAGTTCTTGGGTTGGGAGCACTGCTGAAATGATAAAAATGAGGTGTGCAAGAGGTCAGATACACATGGCAAAACACAAACCAGCAAGCATCGCTAGCCAATATAAAACTAAGAAAGCAAACAAAAAAGGGGCTCGGGGAGGGAAAGGACCACTCACAGACGGCATTTTTGAAAGCGATGCAACATCTGTAGGAAACGAAAGCACAGGCCAAGCAACTCAGATTACAAACAGTGAAGCAGGGAAGGGGGGCAGGGAGAGTTCAGGTCTATAAAGGGATAGCAGTGGGAACAAAGTACCATAAGCGCATTTGTTGTAAAGCATCCCTTTTCCTCCTTTCCCTCTGAGGCACCAGACTGTAGGAAAAGTAGAGAAAGAAAAGGTAAAGGGAAAACAGTTCTTTCAAGACCAGCCAGAGTTTAATGCATGAAGTACGGTCGTGTAATTCAGCTCTCAGTTTAAACAAGGAAGACCAAATGCAGCTAATGATATTAAAAGTAGATGGAGATCTTTTAAAACAAAGTGTGTGTGTGTCCCACCCCCTGCCCCCCCGCCCGTTTTTCATGGTTAAATGGTTAAACTATCCCTGAAATAAAAGTATTTCTTACTATTTAATGAATAGTGTAGGACTTACGGCGTATTTGATCCTATTCTTCAAGTGCCTTTTAAAATCCATTCTCTCTCCACTCATCGTGTCAACACAATATCTTGCTCCCTAAACTGCTATCTGTAGCAACATGGGACGACTCTTTCATTTGTAGCAAAGGTTTCCAGCCATTTTCAAGAGAAAGAGGGGAAGGAGTTACTTAAGCACTCTTGAAAACTGCGTAGGAGCTTAAGATCCGGGCTTTTTTTTTCTGAACTGGCTGAGGCAATCAGATGCACCCGCTCCGTATAAGCGCTTGTGAACAACCCCAATACAGAAGCAGTTCTACATATATGTAAAGTGCTTTTCTAACAACGGTTGTTTCCCCTGCAATAGAATTTCTATGCTGTCATGACCCACAAAATGCCTGGTGGTAGTATAGGGCTTTCTCTGTAGGGCATCGAAGGACCTTACACAGAGCACCTGCTAAGGCTGATAAATGTGGCCTAAGCCTACCTTGCAAGATCTGTCACACAATCTGTCTTGCGTATGTACAACAGATCAGTGTCCTTAGAAGTTCAATCTACTGACCAGACCAAGGACTGTGGCACAATGCAGATTATGAGACTGGGGTATGGAAGGAGGCAAGGCTTCCAAAGGAAACACACTTATTCCCCCCCCCCCCCAGGGGCATTTGCTTTTCTGTTTATGCACCACAGCACTGGACCAAGGGATACATAAAACTGCTGTGTGGCCAACATTGCAAGTTGCTTTTGAAAACAACTCCATCCATGCCCCATTTGGGTCACCTGTATGTTTCTAGGGTTTGTTCTGATTTTTCCAGAATTATAGGAGTCAGTTCCCACAACTCCAGAATTCACTTCTGTGTGCCTTACTTACTTCTGTGTGGGGAATACAGTGTGCCAAATCCCCCACTGTACATAGGACTTGAGAAAACAAGTTATAGAATTACTGGTCTTCACCCTTTACTGAAGGTAGGTGTGATCACCACTAAGTTGTATACCCTAGTTTAGAATTCCAGAGTATGGGCTGTAGCCAATGCCAGTTCTACTCAGAGAACACCCACTGATATCCCCTCTGCAAAGAGAAAATAGTCCTTCTATTCAGGAATTTGGACAGCTTGGCAAACTATTGTTGGGGGAAACCTGGAAACGGAAGACAGAGGGCATGATTTTGCAACCCATAATCTTCCAAACTGATTTTATTCTTTTTAATGCAGTGAAGCATAACAGATTCGTTTTTGTTATCTTCTCTTTTTTTTATATAAGATATTTATTAAGGTTTTTTAAAATATTACAATTGTAATATTGTAACGTTTTTGTTATCTTCTCACTTAACATATCATTTCTAAAATTTCACAAGATAGGATGAGCCACATCACAAGTGTGCCTTGGTGCCTTGGCTGGTTCCTGGATTTCCATTCTCTATTAAATGTTTGATATTATTTGAGTGAAACAATTGTGCAAAAGGCTGAACAAGGGGAGCGTCCATCACTATTAAAGGTGATGTAGATAATTGAGGTGGGGAATCATTTTAGGTCCGAAGGTTACACCCTCACAGGCAGCCAGGGGTAATATTCATGCGAGTCTTACCACTGTGCAACAGATTACAGTCCAGCTGCGCAAAAGATCAGGTTTCTACACATACACCTGTCCATTCAAATTTGAGCCAAACAAGAGGCATTATCACAGTTTGAGCACACATTCTTGGTAAAGCACTTAGGAAGAGGGTGACCTGTTGGAGGAGGGCAGCTGGAGGGGGGCATGTCCTGAGGGCCAAAGAAAGAGGTCCAGAGAGCCACATTTATGCCTAGGCCTGAGGCTCCTCACTCCTGATGTAAATGACTAATTTCTGCTACTCAAACACCAGCATACAATTCCTCTCTAACCTCGGTTCCACTAAAGTCGAAAGAAATATGGCTACCACAAAACTACAGGAAACTGTATATTGATATATTATCCAAAACTGGTTTGAAGTCCATATCTTGCTAGCGGTTTCATAATTTTTGACCTGGGAATATATCGCAAATCACGATGTGTGTGTGTGTTTGGGTGTGCGCTAAGCAAAAATCATAATGTGGGAAAAACCATGAAGCCAGCCAATGCTCTCGATTCCTGCAGCCCGTTAACTCTGCCTGCTCAACTTCCTGCAGGAGGCAGCAAATCACAAGAGCAAGGGCCAGCAAAAATTACAATGCGGGAGAAAACATGAAGCTGGCCAATGCCTCTACATAGCTCCATCCTTATTTCAGATGTTGTGATTTATCAGTATATCGCAATGTTTAGCCGGTGATATATCATGATGGTGAAAACCAGATATTGCCTGGCCCTACTGTGTACTATTTAAATCACAATTATCCAATGCCTAAAATATCCAATTCATGCTAAGATTTAGCCTGTGGACCCTTAATCTACTGACCCAAGATATCTTCTAAGGAAAGGGCCTGTTCAGATGCAACTAGGCTTGAGCTTTGTGCCTGCATGTTCTGTTCTTGCACCACTTTTTCTCTCCTTGGCACATCAAGATTGAAGACTTTCTTGGTTAACCAAACCTATAGGGCAGAATCCTTGTTGCACAGCAGAAATCTGCTCAAGTAAGAGACTTCACTTTCTCTTCTCCCCCTGCAGCCTCCCTATTTTCTTCAAAGGGTCCTCAGAGAGAAAAGAGAAGGGAAGGGGTGGCAGTTTGTGTATATGGTTTGTGCATATCTTGTCTTAATAAGGCAAGATGTAATATCTGAATCTGGTCAAGTAAAAAGTGTGGAGATTGAAGGCAGAGATCTATTAGAGTGCAATGAAAATAGAACGTTAGGGATATTTGAAGACGAAGAAGTTCAGATAAAGGCATAACAAAGATAATAGCAAGACTATGCAGAAAGGAGCCAGCGAAATCAGCAGGTTTTGAGAAACTGGTTCATTGTTCATTCTGCTTCAACAAGCTGAATAAATAGTTAGTGGACTGTGAAAGTAGTGGAAATACGAATAATTTTGAAACAAGCAAATATTAAAAGTAAAAGCAGGAATTATTTCTGCTGAAGCAGTTTAGAAAAGTAAGTATTGTCCACATAAAATTTCATTGACATTGTAAGGATGGGTGGCTGTTACGGTCATAAGGTGTTTCATTCACTACACAAGAGTAAGGCCATGTGCCTTGATAGCACAAAACAATATGCTGCAGCAAGCGGATTCAGGTGAAGGGCTAGTAGGAAACAGAAGAAAAGAACAGCTGGAGAAGGGGAATGAAATGCTGGATAGAGGGGATAAAGCTTCTCAGCAAAAGGACTCTCACCAAATACTTCCAAGGAGGAACGTAAATCTTTGCCAAGACAGGACAACCCTGCTGCCTTGGAACTAGTTTGTGTGGTTGGAGGGGGAGGGGGAGCATGGAAACCTAGACTAGTATCTCTACTGCAAGAATACGTTTCAAAATGCACCAACAACCACCAAATTTACACCCCCAAAAAATAACATGCATTTTTTCAAATTCTGATGTAATACGATTTCTATTTCCTTCTGTTAAACTAATGGCCAGTTTAATATAAAGTGCTTTGTTATATTAAAAAAAAACCCCTCCAATAGTTCTAAAATTAACAACGGCATAGCTACTTGAGTGTTTGTTTTGTTTTTGATGATGTGCACTTATGCACCAGCAGCCATCATCTTACAAGAAACGTATTCCCCTTCCCTTCTCACACAGGACAATACCAAAATGGTGCTTGCCATCTACAGTTCTTTTTTCAAAAAATTAGCACCTGTATGTTTTTCAAATTGGTGACTGATTAAACCTGGGTATCTTTCAGTCATTCAAAATATATCTTAAATACACTAATTAAGCAACAAAATCTTGCAATCCTGTATGCCCAAGTCTCCCCCCACCCCAATCGCTTTCTATAAACACCATGCCTCCTGCTCAGTTCTTTAAGGCCTTTGCACCTAAGTAGAGGAGGCATTTATGTAATTTTCATATTCTTATAACTAAGAGACTCTCTCACCCACACAGAAGTCTTTTAAACTTGTTTTACAAGGGGAGGCTGATGGTATAAAAGCATCCTTTTACTGATTTACTTCAGCTTACATTCAACCTTCATACGTGGCTTCTGAGGTTGTCACCCATCCAGGCAGTGGCCAGCTTGGACCTGCTTAGCTTCACAAAGATGGAGGCTTCATGTGCCTTCATGATACATGTTATTCAAAACATCCACATTTAACTCAAGTAGTTCTGTCTTAAATACAGTTTTCCAATACATTAGCAAAGGATATTTGGGCCCAGGCTGGATGCAACACCAAACCACATTTTAGCTTTATGTGTGTGAGCAGCCGTGGAGTCCTGGTCTCACATGCTCCCCCTTCCTTTCTCCTCTTACGAGTCATGCCGTAAGGAGAACATCATCAGCATCCACTTCTACTTTTAAACTAACTGGCAAGAGCTCTGACTATAGTTTTAAGTATGCCAGGATCACAAACCACAATTTGACGTGGGCTTATTTGAAAAGGGGACCCCCGCCTCTCAAAAGCTAAACGTAGTTCCTCCCACCCCTCAAATTCAGATACAAAAAGAAACAGGTTAGTTCAAAACTTAAAGAGGATGTTTCTGACCTCATGGCTGTGCTGAAGGAGGGAAGGGGGAATCTGTGAACTCAAAGCTCACTGCTACTTGCACTAAAACTAGGGTTCAGTGTTTGTCTGAAAGCAGCATTTAATTCAAGCAGCAGAAGCCTGAATTTTATTTAAAGTTCAGCCTTCATTAATTGACAGTGTCTGCAGGGCAGCACAGTAGTTCTCACCTTTTAAAACTGCCTTTTCTTGCAGTAGACCTGGTTGTTCTTTTAGAATGGCCTGAACTGTCAGAATTGCTAGTTTCAGGCTGTTTACTTTTCTGAACACTGGACTGCAGAATTACCCTGAAAGGAGTAGGAGAAAGAAATTACTTAAAAGTAAACTGAAATGTACATAATGTACGAAGATAAATATGGCATATAGTTTTCTACCTAAAAACGCCTACCTAAGATGCCTAAAAGACAGGATTTTGTGGACAACTGTTTTTGATCTTTCCTCACTGAGTGTGTGGTAGTATTCAGATATCGGCTCTGTTTTAAATCCACTAAAACTTTTCATTCAGAGTATTAATACAGCCAACCATTTTGGGCTCAAGTTTTTACTTCCAAAACAGAGAAGCAAAGGGTTCTTTCTTTCTTTCAAGTGCAACAAAAGTGCCTTTATGGATCCTACCATACAAACATCTCTGCATTACTCCTGAATGTTCCAGACAAGGCACGGGTGACCACACAATCCAACATATGAACTGATACTAAGAAATATCTAAATATTATAAAGGAGAAGTCATTGCCTAAGCTTGACCACTGGAGTTTATAACCAAAGAAATTGGTTTTTATACACACAGAAAAACCAACTGTGAATCCCTTCATTGGGGCTCAGAATTTGAAATGAACTCTCTAGTTTTCAAAAAGTTATGTGAACCAACACTTTTAAAAAAAACAAGATAATTTCTGCTTTGTTGCTATCCTGTTCTCCTAATGTCCTTGTTTTGATTTCATGCTTTCCATAGGCGGTGAAACAGGAACAAACTTCTCCTTAAATTCCTCCACTTCACTACTCAGTTATTACTGGAAAGGGGAGAGATTTCATCAGCATACATTACCCAACTGTATTCCCTCCCCTCCTAGCTGGTGCATGCTCACACAGCATCTTGGATAATCATTTCCAGAGGGTGATGCTTGGGGAGTGGTCTTTGGCCCTGTGGAGCCTTCAACGTAGGGTTCCTCAAGGTTCAATTTTATCCTCTATGCTATTTAACATCTACATGAAACCGCTGAGTGAGGTTATTATTCAGAGTTTTAGAGTACGTTGTCAGCAATGAGCTGATGACACACAACAATTTCTCCTTTACATCTGCAGGTGAGGCAGTGGATGGACAGGACCACTGTCTTGCCTCGGTCATGGACTGAAGCTCAATCCAGGTAAGACCAAGGCATGGTCAGTGGGCGGCTCCCTAGACTGGATGCCTGCTCTTGATGGAATTACACTCCCTCGGAAGGAGCGGGTGGATAGCTTGGGGGTAACTCCTGGATCCTTTGCTTTCGCTGGAGGCTCAGGTGGCCTCAGTGGTGTGGAGTGCCTTCCATCAGTTTTGGCTGTTGACCCAGCTGCACCTCTATCTGAACAGGGATGACCTAACTTCTATGTTCTGGTAATCTCTAGGTTGGATTACTGCAATGTGATATATGTAGGGCTGCCTCTGAGGATGGTTCGGAAACTTCAGCTGGTGCAGAATTTGGCATCCAGGCTGCTCACTGGGGCAGGACGGTTTGAGCACATTACGACAATCCTGGCCGGACAGCACTGGCTGCCGATTAGTTTCAAAGTACTGGCTGCTGATTCAAAGTACTGGTTTTGACCTACAAAGCCTTAAGTGACTCAGGACCACAATGCCTCAAGGACCACCTATTTGAACCACCCTGGACCCTGCAATCATCATCTGAGGCCATTCTTCGTGTGTCTCGTCCACGAGAGGTCCAGGGGGTAGCAACATGAGAACAGGCATTTTCTGCAGTGGCTCCCAGTTTGTGGAATGCTCTCCCCAGGGAGGCTCATCTGGCACCTTTATTATACATCTAAGGGCATCAGGTCTTCTCTTCTAACAAGCCTTTGGCTGATTAACAATTCTATGTCCTTTTAAATGTGTTTTTTTTTGGGGGGGGTTATTGGTTTGCTCTTTTTTTGTTCTTGTTTTTATTATGCATTTTGTGTTTTCATTTGGTATTTTTATGTTGTGAGCAGATGAAGGGCGGTATACAAATTTAAACAAATAAATCCCGTATCTGCATGAAGCAAGATTCAGCTCTGATACTGTAGAAGAATTTGCCCCCATCTGTTCCTGTAAGCAATTAAGTGGGCTGCAATAATAGTTCTGTTCAGTGAAACTTTCCAGGAGGGACAATGGCTAGGTGACTATGGATTTCTTTATTCTTACTTTTTTTAAAATAAATAAATATTAGTGCTTATATTATTGATATGCTTTCAGTTTATTTCTATTTATTCCATTCTTAGCCACTTTAGAGATATAAAAAGGCATTCCTGAAAACTTTAAAAGTACAGTAAAAATTCAGGTCAGCTATTAAAAAAACATTTTCCTGCACAAAGGGTATGAACCAGTCATTGAGAGGACAATTAACAGATCAATCCTAACTTACCTTTACACCAGAATTGGGGAAGAGTGATCAGCTAGTACAATGGGAACCAGATCCACTGCTCGGCTATTTCACAGTAACCAGAGCAGGAGGTGGGGGACAACAGATTTCATCCCCCTGCCAAGGGCTGCAATAGGAGGGAATTAACTATGGCCACCCCATGACAGGCATTCAGTTTCAGTGATTCTGTGAGCATGTGAGGGAAACAAAGGGCCTATGGTTCTGGTGTATCCACAGCCAGCCCCGATAAGTCCCCTTCTTACCTCCTCCACCCAACATCACTGGTGGAAGGTCTATGCCAGTGGAGATCTAAGTGTCTTCTCACTGGTACACCTCCATCTCCATCATAGCAGCATTCCACCAGAGCATATAACCTATTAAGCTAGTAAGCGTGAGCAGAGTTAAGGACTGAAAGTTGCAATGAAGCACAAGCTGCTCAACACAAGACCTTCTTGTTAGAGATACAGGAAAATGTGAAATATTCCAAAGTATCACTAGGGGGCATAAGGTCTTGTTCCTTAAATCGGCCCAGTACAATCCAAGACACAACAAACTTTCCTTTTTCATAAACTATTTTACGTTTCCATCCTAAATCAGACAGAAAGGTGGGATTTAAGATTTTCATATGCGAAAAAATCCAGAATACCTGCAATCCAAAAAATAGTTTCCCCCTTTTACATTCCTTCACTTACAGCACAATCCTATGCAGCCTTGTTCACAGGGAAGCACGCATAGGATTGCAAGTTTCAGTGTCTGGCCTGTAATGCCCTGACAAAGCACTGTCTGCATCTTTTCAAATCCATAATCTGAGAATCAAAATCCAGCACAGATTACTGAGGGAAGGTAGGTATTCAAACCTAGTCCAGAACTAGGAGATGAAGAAACCCCAAACGACCTTTCATATGCTGATAAAAGGGAACACCAGACAAGCAAAGAACACCATCCTGCAAATGCCTGGCAGTTTTCGATGGGCAATTCTAAAGCACACAAATCACAATCAGTTTTTCTTGTAAAAGCAAGTAGCCCAAGTTCCATGATGCCTTGCAAAAAAAAGGGGGAAGGGAAAAAGAAGAAGGCTGTAAAAGCTTGGTGCATGCATTTATGAAGGAGGCGAGAAGGTGAACTTCTGTAAAGAATGTAATAGGGACACACTTACACTATGACTCTGTCAAGGGAGGTCCTGCTGGACCTAGGTTCTTAACCCATCTAGACAGAATAGGAGGTTGGGAAGAAGGGAGTCACACACAATCCACCAGATGACAATGCTACTCAGGACAGACACCAGCATAGCTAGGAGACATCTAAAAAGGGGTGAGGGTGGGGAGGAAGAGATGGATATGAAATTAAAGGGGGAAATCAGGAACTCTTTTTTTTTTTTTTTTTTTTTAGAAATGAGTGGTATATTTCAGCCAGTTGTAGTTGAAAAAAGGAAAAAAGCTCTATGCGTGTTCTTTGATGCTGTGGGGGGAAATCCCTTCCCTGTTCAAAGGCCATGCTGTATTTTTAGGGAGATTATTTTAACCTTTGTTTGATTTACAGGGTGAATCTAGGAAGGATTCTGAAAATCACTTTTCACCTCAAATACCCCAAACCCTGTCTTAGCTGGAAATTAACTGACAGATTTGTCCAAATGCCATTTAAGAATACAATTTAAGAGCCTGCTGCATCAGGGTCCATTTAGTCTAGCATCCTCACAGTGGTAACCAGGTACTTGTGGGAAGCTAAAAAGCAGGACCTGAGTGCAATCTCTGCCCTTAAAAACACACAGACACAAAACCTTGTTCATAATATAGCGTACCAATATTAAATGCTCTCTGTGGGAGGGTCCATCAATTCATAGCTGTCAATGTTTCCGTTTTTAAAAGAGAAATTTCCTTATTCCAAATAGGATTCCTCGCAAGAAAAGGGAAAAGTTGACAGCTATGCATCAATTAGGCTACATCTGCTTCACTAATATTGGTCTGCCTGATCTAACAGCAACATCAGCATCAAAACATACATACATACACACTTCAAACAAAACACAGAGAGAGATGTGCTGCTTTTCTACATTAAAATTATATTTTTAAAGTATTGCATATTTTTTACCCAATATGCTTTTTTTCTAACCACAATGCACATGCAAAGGAATCTCTTTTGGCCAAAAGCCTTCACACTCACACACACAAACACAGGGACCTGCCCCAGCAGCAGTTTTCCTAAAAGCAGAAAACAAGAAACTTCTAAGTTATGGGTAGGAAAACCAATCCTGGAAGGGCCTTGTTTTGTTTTAAAAAATACACTGAAACAAAGAAGCTTTTAGGCATTGATGTAATGTTCGGTTTAGTAAGTGTTTTGTGATTTAGCCAATAAGCCTGATATGTTAGGAGATGCGGCAGAGAGGAGAATTTACTGATGATAAGCAAATGAGAAGATCTGGACATCAAGGTGACAGCTAGTGGCAATGAATTAATGGTGTGCAACTTTTAGAGTACCTAAAAACATACTGAAGAAGTCAGTCTTTAAGAAAGAGGCTTTTGCATTTACAGATGCAAAATGAAATTAACTTACGTTAGTGGAACTGAGTTTCCTTTTGACTGCCGTTTACTTTTCAGGGCACGAAGCTTATCTCCTTGTGTAACTGAGTGCATTTCTTCTTCATCATCACTGTACTGTAAATAAATGGCAAGTCATTGGAATAATTTATAGTATACTTCAAAGTCTTGATGCTGAAGCATAAAAATTGATGCATACCAGACCCCCAGTGAACTAATGAACTTTTCACCTAAAGTTGCAACAGATCTCACGAAAACATTTCTTTAGCATTTTGGTGTGTATCTGTTTATTTTCTTGTTAACACAGGCATAAAAACCCACAGGAGGAACGCCCTCTCCCCAGCAACAGAAACTTGTGTGTGTATCTCTCTTCTGCTACTCAAAAGAGAGTATCTAAATTCAACTATATTATGCCCATACCTCACCTGTAGAATGTCCTTTCAATCTTGCTCATTCGTCACACATTTTCCCCTACTCTTAGGATGCTTTTCAGGAATAGGAATACAGAAGAGCATACAAAAAGAATCCAACCACTTTTGCTTTATTATACCCACATTTCGCAATGCCCTAAGATTTACAACAGCACAACGTTCGGGTGATTACCGGTTCAGAATCTTTACTGCTGTCAATCTGACTTTTGGAATCATGAATTGAAATGTCATCTACTCCTGAAAGAATTTTTGTAACAGTGTATTTTGCTGTCTTCCTTAGCTTTGCACGGAGAATATCACCTTCCAACCAAAGTTCTGACTGTTTCCTGTTACGGAGAAAAAATACAGTAGAAATCGCCAATATCAATTTTTGACTACATTTATAAATCCAAATTCATAGGTTAAGCAGAGTCCAGTAGCAGGTGTGCCACCCTCTAATGTGGTACAAAATGGTCTCAATATAGTCATGTAAAATATTTATCGCATTGCATCCAACTATGCCCTTCCATTTGCAGAATTGCTTTGACCTAGCAGTGGTTTCCAGTAATTGGAAAATGAAGTTATTTTTGCCAATTCCTCCTCCTCTTCTCTGCAACACCCTCCCCACCAACAAAAAAAGCAATCTGCTCTGGAGGATTGGTAGAATCTTTGGAACAGCATGGGAAGTAGTGTGGAGGGATACCGGAGGAACAATTAAAAATTGTCTCCCTTACATTAGAGGAGTGGATCTCAGCTGAATCAAAAGCCCTTTTGTGAACAGATGGATGCAAACCAGAGTTATAATTTTATTTCCACCTTGAAAGTTTTACTGAAAGGCAGGAGACAAACATTTCAGAGAGCTATTGCTGTTGTTTGTTTAAGACAATTAGACGTATTAGTAGATGAAAAAGTTGCTTTCAGTCTGCTGGCAGGCTTAATGAGTGCCGAGTGAAGTCTTGTAGTGTACTCGTTTTGTCATACTAATCTGATGCTAAGGCATCAATCAATATCGATATTTTAATCACTGCATTTTAGACATTTCATTGCTATGTCTTGTGCATGTTCTTCACCTTAAAAAACAATAGTTTCATTTCATTTTTGTATACACTTCAGTAGTAATTCATATATATTGATGTTTCTACCCAATTCTGTACCATAGTCTATAATTTTGAGGTTGAGTTTTCTGTTTTCCTTCCCTTTTCTTTAAGGCTTAGTCCAGGCAGAATGTGTGCGCAACTGTACAGGCTCTGTGATTTCAGCTTCTGTCAGTAATGCACATTCAGCTGCTGAATTCTACTGCATACCCCGCAAGTGTCTCAGGGGGGGAAAAAGGGACATCCCATTTTTTCTCACGATATAACAGTGGCCATTTGGGTTGCTGCGATGTTGTGAAATTCCATGGTGCAATTTCTCCCTGAAAAAAGCACTTTTGGGGGGCTGCAATATCGCATGGTGCCCCAAAACATGGATTTTGGGGCGCTGTGCCTGAAGAAAGCAGTTTTTTTGCAGCACAAAATCACATGAGATCACAGCAACCAAACTGGCTGGTGTGCTCTCACACAAAAAAATGGGAAGATGGTGTCTGTAAAGAAGGCATCCCTGATTTGGGCTTCATAGTGTTGGAAGGTATGCTACTGATGGGAAAGCAAGTCAAAGACACACAGCTCTAACCAGATGCCGGTGATTGTAGGCTGCTTATACTGCAGTTTCTGATTTACGTGTAAAGCAGCAAGCAGCAGACCAAGCCAGCGGTCAGAATTACCAGTGTCTTCAGAAGGCACACTGCCAATCTCTGCTCCTCTATGTGGGTAACTGCTGTTTTATGGTCCTAACCTCCTTTAACCTATATTTAATATATCAGAAGGCAGAATGGTCATTACCAATTTGTGTGAGGCCAGGTCCCGGTCACAGCATGCAAATAATTAAATAGCTTCAGCACTGATTCAATCTTCGGGGGGGGGGGGTTTAAAGGCTTACTTACTCTAACAGGAAGTGCTGCTGTGCTCCAATCACAGAGCCAGGTCTGCAGATTCTAATCCAGGCAATAGCTTCAGCAGCAGTCATCCTGTAATGCTTCATAATGTAACAGGCTATAAGTGTGCCAGTTCTGCCAAGTCCAGCTGCGTGGAACACAAATAAGCTCGTTCTTTTTTCTGGCTTTTGCAAGCAGATCCTCAGTCAGGCTTTATCATGCTTGTATGCTCCCTCTGCAAACCACAATTGCTTGGGCCCTACATTTCTTAGGCCAGGCCTTCACAAAAAGGAACCCCAAACACATCAGGCCATGTATTGGGTATGTATGTGTGTGTGTGGGACACACTATATAGCTCAGTCATACATCACATGCTCTACATGCAAAAGGTCCCAGGTTAAATCTACAGCATTTCCAGTTAATAGGATCCATCAGGATGCAGATAATGAGGTTGCCCCTTCCAGCCACTGCCAGTCAGAGCAGACAGCCCTGGGCTAATAGTCAGACTTGCCATGAGGCAGTTACCTATGTTCCTATTCTGGCTTGAGATAATACTCTTTTCTGTAACTGAGTGCCCTGAGTAACTGAGTGCCCTGAGTGCTCAGAGTGCCCTGTTGATGTATTTTATAAACAAATTTAAACAGCAAATGCTTGAGCAGATCCAAGCCTGGATGAAGCTCCTCAGCTTTCATCAATCTCTTCGAATGGTATGGAGATGCTCCAGAGCTGAGCCACCTGTGGCCCTCTGGGGAAATGGCGGGGGGGGGGGTACCCAATTTTCAACAACTATGCTCCCTCCTAAACCCAAGTTGCTCACAGCTCACCCCATTCAGGAAGTGCTCTCCAACCTGTTTGGATTCAGCACACTGTATCTGTAATCAAAACTTTCTAAATTGCACCAAAGGCATACCTGGACATAAGGTGGCAGTCAAAAGTTTGTTCTGGAAGGGATCTTTCAAAGTGAGCTTAGCTTTCGATACCCAGATTTGTAATACACAAAAAGCAAACTGAAATATATCCATATGTTATTCTGTAAGGATGTGCACCTTTATTATTACTTCTAAAGGCTTGAGCTGCACATTGTCACTTTTCTACCATAAAAAACTTTCATAAGTTATCACTACCTCCTGGGTGACTTATGATGAGGCTTACGTGTAGCAGCTGGCCTCGCTGGGATGCTCTTTATTTACTACACATTTATGCAGGTAACTTATTTATTTCACATTTGTGCTTGTTACAGTTTAGTGGAATCCACTGGAACACAGGCCGAAAACAGAATCTTTAGAGGCTTACTGCTTCCATTTCTCAGACTCTATTTAAACCATGTATGATTAGCAAGATTCCACATGGAAGTTGGAAGTAGTAACCTAGCAAGAGGCCACAGCACTTAGGGATGAGATGGAAGAAAAAGGAGACTTCCAACATTCTAGTGAAAGAGATGTCAGAATCCTTGCAGTACAAATGATTTTTAAGAGAAACTGGTGATTTTGGTCAAATTGCTTAAAAAATGCTGTGTAATGGCTGAACTAAGTGATGGTTAATAATGCATGCAGTGAATGCTATCCCAAAAAGTTAGTGTCGATTACTTTAACTCATGATTCCTGTACCTTTGCAATGAACTGCTATAGCACCTTCGGCATTTTCACAAATACTTAGGAATGTTCTGATGATGGCATCATTAGGTATACTTCCATCAGCAAAGAAGAGTTCATAATGCTCAAACCCTGCATCTTTAAATCTCCTTGCATCATACACTCTCTTGTTTAGACGGATTATAGTGGTAACATTATGTCTTCTGAAGTAGGGAAAATAGGCCTCGGGGGCGTGGTGTGGGTAACCTGGAAGAAAGGAACGAATGAACATTTACGGCAGTGTAGAACAAAATATCAAGCAAGCCACCCAAATACCCCACCAAAACCTATCAACCCAGCCCGTTTTCAAATACTGATTTCTATAGTTCAGCAATGTCCAATCAGGTGACTGCGATCGACAGGTAGATCCCAGGAAGATCGCAGCTGGTCGCAGGATCGTTATCGATCGCGGGATTTAAAGCAATGTATAATGAATGTTTGTGCCCCCTGCCCCGTTCCTACGTAGCTTCAAAAGGGCGATCGTTTCTAGTCTGCTGCTGACATTAGTTGGCTTTATTGTTTTGTGTGCTTGTTAGTGTTGTAGTTAATGGTTAGCCTCTCCCCCCCCCAAAAAATCTCAACAACTCTGGCCTTTCCCTCCTAAAATAAGTTCCTCCTCCCTCCAGTGACAATGGGTAGATCATTGCCAGTTTTTTTATACTGGGAGTAGATCACAGTCTCTTGGGAGTTGGACGTGGCTGCTGTAGTTGGTAATGCAGAAAGTAACAGAGTAATGTATTGTTTCCGCCGCAAGTGCCTCTATCTTTTAAACATACCATTTTCAATTTTACTTCTTGAGTGTGGGCCACTGAAGGCAATGAATTTTTTTGGTATTATCCAGTTAAAGTCTCCATTTTCAGCCCTCTGTTAAGAAAACATAAGAATTGTTTACTTCATCCCTAAAACATCCCTGACATTAGTCACATTTGCTTCGGTGAACATAGTGAGGATGACGAGGAATGCTGATGTAAGGTTTTGCAGAATAAGAATGTGTAATTCCGATTTCATCTGGGATTATAGACCACATGCTCTCACACTGTCATGCGACAGCCTTAAGTGTATTGAAACATCTTTTTGTTATTTACCTTACTTTCCTTGACTCCACATACTTAGATATAGACTATCTTGAAAACAGAAAAAATCAAGAGCTATAAGTAATGCATGCCAATTTTAAGCAAAGACAGTCTCAGCAGTAATTATAAGTAGACATCAGTAAACAGAATGATGCTTACCTCATAGTGTTCATATTCATCTACATCAAATGAATTGAAATCAAGGAAGCCATACCGCAAAGCCTAAAATTTGCAAGAGAGCAACTTTAAAAACAACAACATAAGCCTTGTAGAATGGACCATAAATGATCACTTTTAGTCTGTCTCTTTTACCATTCCATATTATCTACATTGTCTGAACTAAAACTTTACTTATGTAAATGATATATGCAAAGCACTCAGAAATTGCTATGTAAGTGTAATTATGACTACCATTCCTGCTCACACAATGGAACTTTCCCAACACTAATAATAATAATAATAATAATAATAATAATAATAATAATAATATTTTCTTCTCCTTCTTCTCCCCCTCCTCCTCATTGCAGCCTCCCCCAAATCCAGTCACTTCAGTTCAATGTACTTATTCAAAACCATGGGTCACCACAAAGCTAATAAAAATAGACAACAGCTGGCTTACTGACCAGTGAAAGCCCACTCCTGAGGGTCAGAGGACCCTCTAGAATGATGCATTGTTTGGAATGAGAGGCTGCAAGAAGAGGGGGATTGATAGAATTTGGGGAGTGGGAGACATCATACAAACACGGAAGTGCAGTCTGATCTCACTATGGATCCAAACCATAATTGTGGTTTGGCTTATTTCCCCCTCTTCTTAATTATCCAATCTTTTGGAAATCTTTCAGATTTCAAACTGTCCAGAATCCCATAAGGTTCTGATCAAAGTACAGGGTTCCAGATCACACATGGAATTTATTTTACTAACCTTATTTACCGCCTGAAAGCAGTCGAGCAGCGTTAGATGAAAACTGCAGGTACCAAACGCAGCATCCCTGCAAGGCACACAAGTGTGAACTCAATGTTGGCCAACTTTCCTAAGGAAAATTTTGTAGGCTTCCTGACTTGGCTACAACACACTCTAGCTAGTGATTTCTATTAGAGTCATACCTCGGGTTAAATATGCTTTGAGTTGAGCGCGTTCGAGTTGTGCTCCTCGGCAACCCAGAAATAACGGAGCTCGTTACTTCTGGGTTTCACCGCTTGCGCATGCGCAGACGCTCAAAAGGACGTCACGCACATGCGCAGACGTGCCGTCGCTAGTTATGTTTACCTCTAGATGCGAACAGGGCTCCGGAACGGATCCCGTTTGTATCTAGAGGTACCACTGTAGTTAACAGCAAGCAGATAAATACGTGTCAAAAGGACATTTGAACCGTTTCCAAATTTTGTGGCACACAATTACTGCTTTTCCAGCAAAAGTCAAATGGTCTCAATGTATGGGCGCTGGTTCCCTAAGCCACACCAGTGGAGCAGTGCCATGGCAAGGAAGGATCTTGTTGTGGCTGGCTGCCTTGCTCTCTTGGGTCAACAGCAAACGCGAGAGAAATGGCAGAGAGGTCAGGCTGGCTCACTCCACTAGCTGGAGTCTGTCCATCCTTGCTGCCCACGGCCAACCTGCCCCTTTCTTGAGAGCTCTCCAGCTAGCAGATGCTACAAGCTTCACTGAGGCTCATGCTGACCACCATGATGAGATGAGAGGAGTATTCATGTCACTGCGGGGAGCATCCTGTGCCAAGCTAAGTCCCAACTGCTCGATTCGTTTTCTGGACTGATCTGCCCTGCATGTGTGTTGAATTCTCAGCTCTGGGTTCATTTGCTATGCTAGACATTAGTCGGCCACAGGTGGAAAACTAAATTGCTGCACTTGGAAGATGTGTTGTCATGGGGGCAAAATCCACTAGCCACTTAAGTAAGTAGTTAGCTTGACCCCCCCCCATCAACCTTGAAGCCTGCAGCTGCAATCCAATAAACACTTATTGGCGCGGGGGGGGGGGGGAGAGAGACTTGCTGAACTCAGTGCACCTTACCTGACATGAATAGGATTGCACTGTGTTTGTGCCTACATGTAGAGCACTCCAATCTATCATACGAGAAGTGTTCGGCTGGTGTAAACACAAAACTATATTTTAGGGATCAGTAACTAAACAACAGTGTTAAAAATTGCTTCCTTAACACATTTTGCCATAGCAAATTGCATGGGGCTCCCCTATCTGGTTTATTTTTGTTTAAGGATAGTAAGTCTTGAGCACGCATGTAAAAAAAGATCTAGAAAAGTCTTCACCAATCAGGTGCTCTCCAGAGGTTTTGGAGTTTAACTCCCATCCTTCCTAACCACTGACCGTATTCTTTGGGGCTGATGGAAGTTGGATTCTAACAGCATCTGGAAAGCACTAAGTTAGTGAAGGCTGAGGTAGGAATTCCAAATGGGCAGGGGATCAGTTTCTCCCCCTGCCAAGAAAGGGTAAAATGAATATTTTTAAAGGATGGGTGGTTTTAATACATGCTTTCATTTACCTGAAAGGAAGATATGTCACATTTTCAGACACTAAATGCCTGTATATGTTTTCTGGAGATTCCCTCAGATATATTATCTATTTTGGAAACAGAGAGGAGAAAAAGGGGGGAAAAACATTCATATGGTACTTTTAAGTTAACTACAAGATAATATTCTCTGCAATTCTCCCACCCACCAAAGCAAGGCATACAGTAGGACAAAGGATAGTGTGCATACAGTGATACAGAGAACTGGCTATAAAGTAACATGGCGGTCAATACAAAGCCAGAAAAAAGGCAAATAGAACCAATAACCATTCTGCATACATAAATGCTGTTCAAGCTCCAGAAAGTGTTACTGCAGTAGAATTGCAGATCAGAATTAGATTCCAGTTCAAAACATTGCAACGTTTTCTTCATGAGCCATTAGCGTGTCCCAAGAAATTTTCAGAACCATCAAATGGGTCATTTTTTAAACTAACAGGATTGGCTACAGAAGACTTTGCCTGCACAGCAGTCTGGCATGTAAGCAACCCAAGGCCCGTGTTATGGTTACTACTGGTACAACCATGTTGGAACCAATTCACACAAACTGCTTTTACCAAGGAGCACAGCACCCACGTGATTTGACAACTCTGGTGGAATCCACACCATGTCCACAATATATACGCTAGGCCTGACTCTCACAACCAGCCTACACCTGCTTGCAAGGGTGAGACTCCTATCTGTACTACTTATTTTTATAGTGTGGTAAACAAATAACCTCTGGAATCGTACCCCTAACTTTGTCATACAGGAAATGCAAATTATTTTAAGCCTCCATCAGCACAAGACACGAACTGTGACTGTTCTCAAACCGCCTATTTAATCATTATTTTAAATACTAAACAGTTTGCAATGAAAATTTATAGAACTATGCTTCATTAAAAATGAAAATAGAAAATATAGCATAAGCAAAGTTTAACAACTGTACACACTTCTATCATGTTTCACCCGCCCCAGTTTTTAATCCTTAAAATATTTAAAATGCTAGGTGATACAATTTTGCAATCAGCCTTCCTAAACAACTGTGCTCTCCGAGTAGACAAAACAAAGGATAAAATTATAGGCAAAAGATAATTCAGCAGCTGCAATTCTTGATTATCCAGTTAGCATTCCCAATACAATATGGCTGTACACAAAGCAATTATCCATTGCATGGACTGAAGAGACACGTCATGTTTCAATAACATTCAAGTCCTGTTTTGATGAACAGATGCTACACAAAGTAGCACAGCTGAGTAGTTTTAGTCTCTGGAGTTACTGGTCTTAAGAGGAGACCCCTGCTTACATGGCAAACTGTAGTCAGTTACTTCAAAAGCGGGGGTGGGGGGGTGGGGTTGAGCATTGTTGCACTTGGGGGCCCTCCTGCACATTCTGATTAGTAGGGTGCTGGAATCGTGTCACAACACCCCCAGTGGCTTGTACGTTCAACAGCACAAGCTATTACTGTTAATCTTGAAGGAGAGCTTCGCTGGCTATATGCACTGATGGAGTGAATAACAGGACCCCCACCCCACCCCTACAAGGGCTTGGAAATTAGAAGCACTGCACTTGGAAAACTACCTTGCTTAAATTTCTTTTCAAGAAATGCAGCTTCAAATTGCTTTGAACACAATGCTGTCCTATAAACAAGTAAAATACTATTGCAGAAATGTGCGGGTTCTTCGGGAGTTGCTTCTACGTAAAGTGGGACGGAACATCTGCTGTAAAACTTCCCAGTCTCAATTCATGTACATCTGCATCTGCTGGGTGAGAGCTCTGGACAGTAAGGCTGGAAGTTCTGCTATACTTCGTAAGTGATAACCTATTAAAATGATGTCCTAAGAAAGATAATCTCTTCCGTAAGGATGTTGCAATGGTATAATAAGGTGAGGGTGGGGGGAATCAGTGGAAGAAAGCACTTTTCTAATGGGGGACACATCAATTGTTAAGGTCACCACTTCCACCATGATTTATCTGCCAGAACTGTCTCCTCACCTTGCTCTAAGACAGGGGTGAGGAATCTCCAGCCCATTGGTCCATCTTGGCCTGCCAGGTCATTTCCCTTCACAAGCCACACCCACCTATCCATCAGCTGACAACACTAGGTGGTGTCCGCAGGTGGTGTGGGGCCAATCCTGCTGGGTTGTTGCTTTCCCACTGCCTTCTTTGTAGGAAATGTGTTGGTGAAGCAGACCTCTCCACCTGCCACAGTGGGCCTGTCGCGGCTAAAAATTGGCCGCTGTTCCTTTAATGCTAAAAGAACTAAGTCAGCATGAGTCAGCGGTCTACAATGACTCATGCAACCTTTCACTAAATTGCACCTGTATATATAGAGTGGCCAATGTTAGTGTTGGGTGTGGGTTGGTTGGATGGTAGAAAGCTAGTTGCGTTTGGTGTGGGTAAAAGCTGTCGGTCGTGGTTGGAGAAGACGACTTTTTAAGAATAAAAGCAGCATTCTGCAAAGTACTCTTTCTTAAGGACTCTTTGTGCCAACTAGGGTCTGAGGACCAGGCAAAGGAGGCAAAGGAGGTCAGAACCTTTTTCTTTTTCAAACACTGACAGGGTCAACTGAACCAATGGATTCAAGTTACAAGAAAGGAGATTCTGACAAAACATCAGGAAGAATTTCCTGACAGTAAGAGCTGTTCCACAGGGGAAGAGACTCCCTTGGGAGGTAGTGGACTCCAGTTTTTAAGCAGAGGTTGGATGGCCATCTGTCATAGATCCTTTAGATGATATTCCTACATTGCAGGGGGTTGGACTAGATCAGCATTTCCCAACCTTGGGCCTCCAGCTGTTTTTGGACTACAACTCCCATAATCCTCAGCTAGCAAGACCAGTGGTCAGGGATGATGGGAATTGTAGTTCAAAAACAGCTGGAGGCCCAAGGTTGGGAAACACTGGACTAGATGACCCTCGGGGTCCCTTCTAACTCTACAATTCTATGATAATACAATTCTAAGTCTAATAACAACCTCCCTACCAAGCACCAAGTCCACAACTACTTATTTTCAACAGTACTTCAGCAAAACAATCTCCCAGATCATTCAATGGCCCAGTGACATGAGCCTATTTACTGTCATTACTTTCCCCAGTTAGACACAAGCATGTAAAAACATTACAAATCTTCAGAACAGGTTATGTTTTTGTTTTAAATGGTTCTGGAAGCAAGTGAGCGCAAGCTTGTGAATGTATCATCAACCGATAGCTTTATTTTCTTCAAAACTCAGCCCAAGGTACCGTGCAGACAACACTAGCTGGCTGTAACCCTGGTTAAAGGATTAAGAGTGGTTCATCAGACTTCATAATCCCTGCCCCAGCCCTTCCCTGCTTCGGTGTGTATTCCTTCTCCTCACTAGATCATTGGTACAGATACCGAATCATTGCATAGGCAGGCACAGAGATTCAAGTGCAAGAGGGAACGTCCATTCCAGATTCCTTAACCATGGTTAAGAAATGGGTAGCAGTTCATCTGCTCCTGTCACAGGAAGTATAACTGAATTGGCATTTCTATACCCTATCAGTCATGCAATATTCTGGGGAAATATAATATACAACTGATCTGAGTTAAAGTTAAAACAGTTGACTTGTGGTCAAGTGTGTGTGAGAGAGAAACCTGTGGAAGTTAAGTGCATATTTTTATTTTTAGAAAAAGTAGAACTTTAAGCCCTTGTATTCTATAGATTTTGTTTTGTTTTTTAAATAGCAACTCTTCATCAGCTTTACAAAAGAGTGGGAAAGAAAGCATCACAGAAGGACAGAAAATAAATAAATACAGCAGAAATGACTTTCCTAAGCCAAGGCACAAACATAAGTCATAAACTGTTTACAATAATAACACTGTGTAAAAACAGACTACAGAAGCAACTTGCCTAGTCGGCAGAACCAGTACCCTGGCTTTCTGGCAGTGGGTTACTATTGCTTTCTGGGAGGGTTGATACAATGGGGAGGTCAGCGCAGTGCAAATCCACTGGTAGAACCAATCTGGCACTCCTGCCAGTGTGTTTGCACTGCACTGACCTCCCAGCTGCCTAATGCCTCTTGGTAGACAACAGCAACCCACCTGCCAGGAAGCTAGAGTAGCAGCTGCACTCTACCAAGAGACAGCTTCTGTAAACAGGTATAAAAATGAAAAGTCACAGGAGCAGGCAAACATTGAGACCTTGCAGAGATCAAAGAAGAAGATTGCATATTATTCCTTGGGGAAATGAGGCACAACCACACTGGTGAAATATGCACCCTTAGAGGGAGAGAAAACATTGTAAGGGGGAAAAACCCAGCACAACCCAATACAGGTTTTAGAAAAGAGACAGGACACAAATACACTCACGCCTGTTTGCTTAAATGTAGAGAAGGCTATGAAAGCCAACACAAGATACACAAGAAACCCTGTTGGTATCAAATCCCCATGCATTAACGTAGAAATTTTTAATTTAATTTCAGGTATTACTGGAAGTACTAATGGAAAGGTTAGATATTTGAATGGTACATCAGCAGTGATGATTCTGCTTCGGCAGCGCCATCTAAAATAAGGTTATATCTAGAAAAGTTGGCAAACTGAACCTAGGAAGGATTAAGGGAAAAAAACAAAGAACACAAGAGGTGAAGGAAACTGCTTACCCTGAAGGAAGAAGATGAGAAAATAAAGTACACAGAGATGAGTCCTGGAGATGACCTGAATTACAGCAATTCTTGAGGGTAGGACCCAAGAAGGGTAGCCCTCCAAAAGGACATAATTAGTGCCAAGCCTGAGAAAAAGAAACACTGTTACTAAGTTAATGCAGGATTTGGGATACAGAGCTGAGATGGAGGCAGGAGACAAAGGAGGAGGACAGGACACACAGGAGCTATTTCTGAATTAAAACAGACAAAGAGAGTCAGAAGAAAGGATATTAACCCGTGAAATAATAGAGGAGATCAAAAGCACCCACTTCTGAAGTAATCTCAAAGTATATTTCCATCTGCTAACAAAGTACTATAAACCTCTCTAGCTAATGCAGTTCTGCCTTTTAAGTATGAACAGCTTGGTATTTTAACTGAGCAAAACGAAAGCTATGACGTCTTATTTCACAACACTTATCATTACTCTGCTACCAAATATTCCATGTATCAGCCTCCCTCAATGCGACGGCCTTAGGATGTTTCAGACTACAGCTCCTCTCAGTCCCAGCCATCATGATGACCAATGGTCAGGGGTGATGGGGCTGTTAAACACCTGAAGAGCACCAGGTCAGTGAAGGTTGTCACATATCCTTTTCCAGCAGCACACACATGCTGCTCAATTTAATATATGTCACAATTACATACAGATGGTTAGTGACGAAACCTACCCGAAAATCATGTTCAAGGCACTAACAGATTGTTTAACCACCCATTTATTATTTTGAGTTTTCGCTCATTATTTGAAATGCTTCTTTCTTCTGTTTCTAACCCAGTTTTTGATACGGTATACCACAAGAAATTCTTATTGAAAGATCCAAGAGAGCAAATGGCCTGATAGGAAAAGACAAACGGAAGAAACTACATCACCTACAAACACTGAAAACATAAATGAAAATGCCATTAATGATTCATGATCTTCATGAAATGAAGGAACAGCACATTCAGATTCATTTTCTGAAAACATTCTAGATACAACAGGTATGATAAACAGTTTTCTTAATTTGAGATTTTACCTTATTTGGCTTAAGGTTATATGTGGTAATTTGAATTGTAAACCCAATTCTCACTGGAGCATTCAAGGACCACTGATTTCAAGGCATGTCTAATATTTTCTCAATAACACTCTCACTATCCTTCAGTTCTATGGTTCTGTGTTTATTTCCAAAATAAAACTTGTGGGAATAGCACTATTTGCAGTGCTGTAGTCACTTGCATAATTATGTATTATTCTTAGATGTATCTGAAATCAACAGCCCCAGATTAACATCTAAAAATGCATTTAATACATTCATGCAGGGGTATGTCAAATATGTCATTTCTTTTTTTGAAGGGGGGATGTCAAGGTATCAGAAGGTTAATACAACCACCTACAAAACATTGAAAAACAACAACAAATATTTTATTGTAACTCCTTTTACCATTAGAGAGTATACTCGAAAGCATTAACATTCTGGTGATAATAAATAAATAACTCTACAGTGTTTATTTATTAAATTTCTATTCAATTACTATTAGTTTCATACACCTGCAGTCATAGAAATCAATAATAGGAAGGCAGTAAAACTTGCCATATTAAGAATTGTCAAATTCTCTGTGCGTAAAGGACACCACACAATGTCTAGAAGAACAGCCACAATGACAGGACAATTAGCACAACAGATTTACTACTTTCTGGTTAAAATCCCAGTCCCACTGAAAACATTCAAGTTGTCCTCTATAAACATCAAGCAAAAGTTTAAAGCCAAACAGTGAAAACAGCTTAGGAATACAAAGCTCCACTAGGTAGCAGTGATTCAGCACTGAAACGACACATTTCCTACATTGAATACAAATGCTACTCCTTCCTGAATTTGTTATAATTACTCCCACAAAATGGAAACACTGACAAGGCTTCTATATGACAAGGCAAGCCTCGAAAGCACTGGCTCTTGTATTTTCTGTATTTTTTTAAAGAACAGTGAGCTAATTTTCAGTAGCTGATAAAGAATCTCTCCCTTTAAGTGTTGGTGTAGTTTTGGCAGTAACAACAACGGCTGCTTTAAGAAGTACAGAAAAGCATTACTGCTGTCACTTAATTTAAAAGACAGCACTTTATTGATAAATGGATGTAGTGTAATTAGCTAGTTAATGGATACATATTTTCATATGAATTAGGGGAGTTGTTCAACATGTGATCGTTCCAACAGGGCAAGCAATTCAGTTTGCCAGGCTGAATGGTCTCCCTCTCCTCCCCCTACACACCGTTCTGGGGGTTCTTCCGAGCTCCCTGAGCCAATTTTGGGGGACACGAAAGAGGAGGAGAAAGAGGAAAGGCTTCCACTGACATGACTCATAAATTGAATCCTGCCCAAAGAAAACAACCTTTTTGTTTTGATTTGTTTTGTCTTAGATGGTGTATGTATGTGCTGCAGCAGGAATCACCAAAGGAGTCAAGAAGGAATACCTCTTTTTTTAATTACACCTATGTGAAGCTTTTATATTAATTAGCATTAAAAAAAGTGTTGCAATTAATTGAAGACACGTTTTTAATTAGTCAGAATGTGTTTAGCAAATAATCTAACCAATTGACCAAACATTTAAGAAATCTAAAGGCAAATAAAATCAAAGAATCGCATGGGGAAACTATGTTCAAGAATACAATATAGCAGGCACCCCCAAACTCAGCCCTCCAGATGCTTTTTGGGACTACAATTCCCATCATCCCTGACTACTGGCCCTGTTAGCTAGGGATGATGGGAGTTGTAGTCCCAAAACATCTGGAGGGCTGAGTTTGGGGGTGCCTGCAATATAGCAATTGCAAGGATAGCTCTGGAAGGAGAGGACCAAACATTCACATCCCCTTCTAGCTCTAACTTCTCCTTTGTGACAACTGCAAAATGCACCAGTGTAGGCAGGGTTTGTTGCTGTAAGTTGGACAGGACCAATCAAGAACCATATCCATGCCAACGTGTGATCATTGCTTAAGAGGGTATGAATAGTGCAGCTCTTTGAACAGAAATCCTGCTGAAGCTGAACTTCCACTCAGCTGGAGAAGAATTCTGGACACACCATGCGACTTTCAGAAACAGTTAGCAAACCAAGCCACACTGTACAGAGCAGCTTATATCCCTTTGAAGAGTGGAGAAAGAAGGATCCAAACATATTGTCTACAAAAGGTATCTTCCGTATGAAAAAAAGTAAAGTTACAATTCAAGAAGCTTTTGAAGCAATTTAAGCTTTGTGGAGCCTGGACATATCAGAAGGAGCATTATTGTTGAGAAAAATTATTTTCCAACTTTCTACCTTCAGCACAGAACTTTTTTGAGATTGGCATGCCCATTTAAGCAGTTCGGCACATTGCAAGGGATTCTAGAGTATGCTGTAGAAAAGGAAGTTGTCCCCAACCTGGTGCCTCCTCCTTACGTTTTGGACTAAAAGTACAGCCCAATAATAATAATTTTTATTTATACCCCGCCCTCCCCAGCCAAGGCCGGGCTCAGAGCGGCTTACAAGCAATAATAAAAACAAGTTGAATGATAACAAAATTAAAATACAACATTAAAATATTGAAACATTAAAATATTAAAATGTAGCCTCCTCGCAGGAGGAGAAAGGAAAAAGAAAAAAGAAAGAGAGGGAGGGAATCAAATTGGCTCCAAGCCAAAGGCCAGGCGGAACAACTCTGTCTCACAGGCCCTGTGGAAAGAAATCAGATCCTGCAGGGGCCTGGTCTCATGAGCCAGAGCGTTCCACCAGGCCGGAGCCAGAGTTGAAAAGGCCTTGGCTCTGGTTGAAGCCAATCTAACTTCCTTAGGGCCCGGGACCACTAGGGTGTTGCTATTTATGGACCTTGAGGCTCTCCGTGGGGCATACTGGGAGAGGCGGTCTCATAGGTACGAGGGTCCTAGGCCGTGAAGGGCTTTAAAGGTCAAAAGCAGCACCTTAAATCTGACCCTGTACTCCACCGGGAGCCAGTGCAGCTTGAAAAGCACTGGGTGAATATGCTCCCATGGCAGAGACCCCGTGAGGAGCCTCGCTGCAGCATTCTGCACCCTCTGGAGTTTCTGGGTCAGCTTCAAGGGCAGCCCCGCGTAGAGCGAATTACAGTAGTCAAGCCTGGAGATGACCGTCACATGGATCACTGTGGCCAGGTTGGGGCGGGAAAGGTAAGGGACCAACTGCTTGATGCGGCGAAGGTCGCCTTGGCTGTTGCTGTAACTTGCGCTACCATGGAAAGGGAGGCGTCAAGGATTACACCCAAACTCTTAACGGAAGGCAATGGCACTAATTGGGCCCCCGCAAGAGAAGGGAGTTGGTCCCTCATCCCCATGCCATCACGACCCAGCCATAGGACCTCTGTCTTCGAAGGATTTAGTTTCAATCGGCTCCCACACAAATAACTTGCTCTCTACCCCAGGGGTGAAGAACATTCTTCAGCCTAACAGCTGGAGTCCCTTGTGGAGAATCTTTTGTGATGGGCAGGGTCAGAGGTAAAAGTGTGGTCCATTCCATCCATTCAAAACTCAAAGTGTTCAACCTAATTTCCCCTCCCTTCATCCAAGCAAGCAAGAGACATGGTTACACAGTTCAAGTTCATATTCCGGACTTGAGGAGCATGTACAGCAGTGCCAATAATGGATGTGGTCTGGGGAAGAGGGAGAGAGCATGGTTCCAAGGGCCAGAGAGGCATAGAGGGCCACATTTAGTCCCAAGTCTGAAGCTCCCCATGCCTGCTGTACCCATTGCTGGACCTCTGTGGTTACTTGAAGGAAATGTACTTTCCACATACAAATCTTAATTGAAACATATACAGTACTAGAAATTACACTAACGCTGCAATTCTCAGCACGTTTACTTGAATGTTAACACCATGCCGATCAGCAAGACTTATTTCAAAGAAAGCATGTTTAGGATGGGAGTGTTAATGTGAAATGTACCAGGATTTCCTTGAACAGAGTTTGGTTTATTACATGGTTCCCATTCTTTTTCCTTCATTAATACTGATGCATGTGGGATTACGCTTCCTGTCATACAGGGTTCATTCTAGAAGAATGCTTTGGTCTGGTGCCATGGATATGTGTCAAAGCTATTCCGCCTTCCCAAATCTACACCTGTGTGCTTTGTGGGTTATGTTTTTCGTTATGCTCACTTTACGTTTTTGTATTTGAAATGTGCCGACAAAAATAAATTAGAAGTAAAAACACAACTATTCCTCACGGGCATGGTTTTTCCTCCACTGTATTTTACCACTGCTCCCTCAAAGTAGCCCCACTCAATTCCCAGCTGTCCCAATTCAATTAATGTTCTAAAAAGTCTTTCATCTTCTTCGAAACTTCAAAACCCTGGACTGTTTATAATAGGGTATAACTAGATCTACCAGTGGGCCTGATCAGTGTTTTTTTTTCCTGGGGGTACTCAAATGTACACAGTACTGGCACCTTATTTTCTAGAAAAAAAGCACTGGGCCTGATCCTCATCTTCCTCACAACCCCGCTTGTCAGGTTGATGCCCCTGACTCATCTGTCAATCACCTGACATCACAATGACCATAAGGTGACTAGTTTTTGCATTGATCTGTGCATGGAAGCCAGGACAGATCAGCTGAGCACTGGGGCTTGCAAAGAACTGCACTTGAGGCTTTGTAGGTCCAGTGACATCTTCACCTGTCTCACACTGTATCATATATGACATCTGGTTTAGCAAGGCAGGTGAGCTTGCCAAAATGGTCTGGCAATAAATAAATCCATGTATCTAGTAATAAGAGTAACAGCAGCAACAAATGAGGGGGTAATGGTGAAAGAAAATGGGCTTAGGGATAAAACTGTAAAGCAGTTTTATCCTGTGAATGCATTCCTTTTCCTAAACTGGGGGCAAAAGGACATGAACCACAAGTTACTTGATCACTAGACATGAGGGGGCAGGGACGACACAGGCTTGTGGGTCTTTGACAGTTTAAAGTTAAACATTAGAATACTTACTGCGTAACAGCCTATGAGGAAGGCTGCGTTGACTTGCTTTTTCTGATCAAAGCCAGTATAATGAACAATCTTCTTTCTTAACATGGTAAAGGACTGTACCAAGGAAATAAACAATGGAGTTATAATCCAACTCCTCGCATTATAAAAAGTTGTATTTGAGTCATATTTAAGTAGTAAGCACACATAGAAAACAGCCTCATTTGGTAACACGTAGTTACACTGTTACATTTTATTTAAGACATAATTCAAATGATTACTTCTTTGTCAAAGCCTTTCTACAACAAAGAGGGACACTGGGACCCAGCATACATAGTAATGAAGGTTGAAATGGTAAGAAGAAGAAAATTAAATGAGCTAGAAGATCAAATATCCAAAGCAAAAATATAATTTAATGAAACAATTCTGAAGTCCACAATATAACATAAGTGTTTGAGTCAGGAACAAAAGAGCTCGTGTAAACATGAGGTTATTATGAGAAGCAATTTCCTTAACTTTGCTGTTTTAAAGGGTCTTTTGTAAACTTTAATTGTACCAGACAATGTGAAATTTATTTACACACCTCAAGAGATTCATTAGTCATTTATAGAAGAGCAATAAAAAATACACACCCTAACATAAATTTGAACCTATAGTGTGCTGTCCTTCTCTAGACATGCTCTTATAAACCTCTAGTTCCTGAGCACACAGCTTCCCTGTTCACTGAAAAATAATTACAACAAGGTCACATTCACACCATACTTTTAAAGCACTGCGATACCATTTTAAACTATCATGGCTTTCCCTAAAGAAACCTGGGATGCGTCGTTTGTTAATGGTGCAATGACTGTTAAAAGTGTTTTCACAGCACTTTAAATGTATGGTGTTAATGTAGTCCAAGCAGAGTAATTGGAATGTGAAGATCCAACAGTAATCCCATAACCAGCTCCTCCACATAATACTTCAAATTCCAAACTTACAATTTATCAGATCTCCACAGCAAACATCACTTTAAGTCTTGCAGCTGTGTGTAACTGCTGAGTCACAAACTTCAGTTTTCACTGTTTAACTTTGCAACCGCATTTCAAAGGCTGAATGAAAACGTATTTGCAGCTTCTGTTTTTTTTTTTTATTCTGCAATGTCTTGCCAATAGGCATTTTCCCCCATCTACTATCAGAAATTCTTGCACTAAATAACTTGAAAAAATGTGGGAAAGCCTGGGAAATAGCATGACTTGTTTGACTAGACGAGCCATTTCTTCAGCATGCTGACTGTCCCAAGATCCCTCACACTACTACATAGTACAGTTTTAAGGCTTAATTGCCATTATATACTACTACAGTTCTATAAAACACCCGAGGGTATTATTTTTGTAAAAACTTGAAAATAACAGATTGCCTTGTACACTGTTCCATCTGATCATAAAGGAAAAAGAAAACAGATTACAAGCTTGTGGTGTCTACCGATCTGTAGCAGGGAGGAACAGCAACTAGATGTATTTAACCTTCACAGAATCCATGAGGAACAAAACTAGATTTACTTCTTCTAGTTATTTGTTCCAACATTACAGCAGAGGTGGAGTTTGGGGAGTTGGTTTCCTAATTATTTTAAAAGGGAGACCACAGCCTACCTCTGGGGGTCTTAGGGGGGTAATCCAAAAAGCGCTTCTGCTAGGACTTTTGACTGTGCAACATAATTTTCCCTCCCCCTCCTTTCCTCACACACCTCCTAAACTTGCTCTGGGTCCCCCGCCCCAACTCTCTGAAACATATTTTTTTTTGTGGGGGGGGGGAGAGCACAGGATGCACAAGGAGAGTTGAGTGTGGGGAAAGTCCATTAACTAAGTAATTTTCAATTTTATATTGATCAAAAGATTAAATATCATGCCGCTGAATAGACTAGGGCAGAGTGCCTCAGAGCTTTTGTCATATATATATTTTGCTTGCCTCTTGCGTAATGCTGAATGATGGTCCACAAGGAGCTACAACTTGATCCCTTGTGTGGGTGCCGCACATCATCTATGGGGGCCCTTAGGTTAGAATCCCACCCATTTTGTTACAGTACAAGATACATTTTCCTTAAAATGTTAAAAACAACAGGGTATGTTTATTACAAAGAGCCAGTATTTTAATTGTCAAGAGGTGCTGGCAAGCATTGTTAAGATTTTTTTTTTTTAATTAAAAAGATAAATCCCACTGAAATACATATTAGCTTCAGACACTGGCAGGTTGCCAGAAACAATGAATTCCTTGGGGGAGGGGCACTTTCACTCCAAATAGTGTTTCCTAGTAAGTTTGTTTTGTCTGTGATACCATGAGGACTTTTAAGTTCTATGGTTTTCAGTTTCTTGCCTTCTGCCTTTATCCATTAACCACAGAATGAATTCCCTGTTACTTGTACTCCAAAATAAAAGCAGGCAAGTTCTACCACATTATTCTTCCCCACCCTTTTGCCAAACACACACACACACACACACACACCACTCTCTGGACTACCTATATGAACACCAACCTAAATCCCTATCACTTTAAATATTTTCTGCCAGTGAATATAAAGTAGTAAAAACAGTGCACACATGAACTTCAAGTGAATAATGTTCGCTCCCAGCAACATTTTATAAGGGAACATAATAACATACAAACCATTGAGTACAAATTCATTTTTACCTTCAATTTTTTATTTAGCTTGCAACAGTATCTGTAAATCATTGCCAGATTGAGTGGGCCAAAATCTGCATAGAAACTTGGGGAAAGGGGGCGGGTGGGAAAGAGAGGGGTGAAGAAGAAAAGAAGTTCGCTTAAACTGAAATATTTCGGTTGAAATGGCTGTTCAAAAGAACCACATCCCTCCTCAACTCTGCCAGCACTGCCCACATATGCAGGCATTCTAGCTGACATACTACTTATTCAGATTCACTTCTAGATTACTGTTCGAATACGTTGCAATTATCGGTGGAAAAACAATTATGTAACCCTCATACACATTGTAAAACAGCTCTGCGGTGTCTACTGGATTACAATGTCAGTGTGTGTTGAAATAATTTGGGGATTTTCTGTAAAGCAATTTGCAGACATTGCTTTTAGAAAAGTCAGTCTGAAAGGTAACAATGCAGAAATTACAAAAGCTTGTTAGCACCCTGTTAAAACCCTTCAAAACCTTTCAGTTGCAAATTAAAATATATACTGAAGGTGACAAGAACTTACCACGAATAATGTGGAAGTTGCCCACTGGATCTCTGAATGATTCTTATTCTGTCCTTGCCTCCTACCAATCAGTCTCTGCTGTGGGTGTTTAATTCAGGAATATCTACCAAAGGCAACCCACAAAGGATGCTGCCTATTTCTTGCTGAACAAGTCTCTGATCTGAGCCTGTCTTCTTTCAGAAAACAGGATGCTTGCAATGACGTAGCAAATATACAGAATCTTGATTAAGCAGTTTATACTGGCTACACACAGTTTCCCCTCAAACTATGGCCTATTCAGGTGATCCACAGAAAGGCTGATGAGCATTTGAGACCATCTGTTCTTGTGTCTGCATGACTGCTTCTTTTTTTTTTTTAACAAGGGAAACTGAAATTGTTTTCATGAAGACCATATTATAAAAAGCAAGCTAACAAGGCCCTGACTTACAGTCCATGGACAACAAATTTCATAATATGGCACTGGCATCATCTACAATCGTTTTCTGAAATGTACCAGTTAAAGGCTATTTAAAATATGATCTACCGTATTTTTTGCACCATAACACTCACTTTTTTCCTCCTAAAAAGTAAGGGGAAATGTCTGTGTGTGTTATGGAGGGAATGCCTACGGGTGGCATGCCTACGGATTTTCCTCCTCTAAAAACTATGTGCGTGTTATGGTCGGGTGCATGTTATAGAGCGAAAAATACGGTATGTATATGCTTTGAGGGCCTGTTTGGTGTAGTAGCTAGGGTGCTGGACTAGGACCTGGAAACCAGGGTTCAAATCTCCACTCAGCCAATAAATTTACTGGGACTCCCACTCCAATCTACTTCACAGGGTTGCTGTGAGGAGAAATTGAGATGAGAACTGTGTGTGTGTGTGTGTGTGTGTGTGTGTGTGTATAAAATATTAAGTGGTCCCTCAAGAACCTTGCTAATTTTTAGTTGGGGATATGCAATTTGCTGCTATAAGACCTAGTGATGGCTACTTTCTTGGTTAAACTAATTACAGTCATACCTCGGGTTGAAGTTGCTTCAGGTTGAGCATTTTCAGGTTGCACTCCACGGCAACCCGGAAGTAACAGAATGTGCTACTTCTGGGTTTCGCCGCTCGCACATGCGCAGATGCTCAAAATGATGTCACGCGCATGCACAGAAGCAGCGAATCGCGACCCGCGTACATGCAGACGTGGGTTGCGTTCACTTCAGGATGCGAACGGGGCTCCGGAATGGATCCCGTTTGCATCCAGAGGCACCAGTGTAATGGAATAATCAATGGTTACTAGTCATGGTGGAGACAACAGAGGCTCAGAAGCAGTATGGCTCCCCAGCAGTATACCACTGCGGTGGAATAACAGTGGGAGAGGGCTTTTGCCTTCACATCCTGCTTATGGGCTTCCCATAGGGATCTGGTTGGCCGCTGTGGGGAACAGGATATTAGACCAGACAGTCCTTTGGCTTGGTCCAGCAGAGATGTTCTTACATTGTTTGGTTACCTTCAACCATCTTACTTGATCCTATGGGCCAGATTCAACTAATGAGTCCTGCTAGTGGAAGGAAGCATACCCAAGGACTTCTGCTAGTACAAGGGGGCTTTTCCTCCGTCTCTTCCCCTGTGCCTCCCCCAACTGACTCAGAGGGTGGGTGGGAGAACACCCAGAACAGTGTATAGGGGGAGGAGAGGGGAAATGGTTTGTCTGGCAAGCTGAAACACTTGCACTGACTGAATGATTGCCGTAGTGCTTTGCTGAATTTCTCCCATTATATTTTCCCTTCAGGGACAGGGATATTATAATAATACTTGTTATGATAAAGATTCCTATTACATCCTCATGCTGCTTTATTTCACCGTGTTGAAGAACAAGGGAATAATATTATACTTACTTCTCATATACAAATTCATCATCTACGCAGAAATAATGTGTGCTTGAGCTACCACTCTTTGGTTTGTGGAAGAGAATGGCAAAATAAACACGATCTGAAATTGAAAAACAGGCATGAAACTAGTAGTCATGAAAGCCAATATATCTGCATACAAATATGTTGATCCTATTTGAACTGAGTTAAAACTGCAGATATAAAACCCCCCGGATATGCTCTTGTGCCAGGCAACATAAAACATTAACAACTGGTCATGGTGGTGAATTAAGTGACCAAAATGCTGTGTTTGGATGTAGGAAGCTCAGGCTCATACCCACTTTGACCTATGTCGCTCAATGGGCGGTTTTAGTTCTTCCAATCTACTTCACAGGGTGGTTCAGAGACCAGACCACCACTTAGTTTCACTGTGAGAAGGAAATAATACATTACTAAAGCCGCCCTCAAGTATGTGTTTTATTAAGGGGAACAATGTGTAGAACAGGGCTGTGTGCTTGTGCATTGCCACTGGCTCCACTCCAGCATCCACGCATTATAGGAATGGACATTTGCAAGAAAAAGCCTAGGCTTTTCCTCCCTCTGTGCCTCAATACCACTACATGCAGAGACTTTCCCTGGCAGATATCCACACCTAATAGGTGGACATTGTGGTGGGTCTAGAAACCCTAGTCTTAGTCTAGCCAATTCCCTTTCACATCATTTACATGTAATCAAACTTGCTTAAAATGTGTGCTTTGGGCTTTGTTTTGTTAAAGGCAAAGAGGAGGGGAAAACAAAGAAAATATGTTATTATTCACTTAAAAGTCTGCTTGGGTCAGAGCACAGGTCTGGCTTTGATCATACCCTTACGGCTATCTCTAAATTACTGAAGGAAGTATGAAATGCAACTGCAATGGAAGAATGAGAAGTTTTTTGTTTTTTTAAATTCTCTTCTGAATGAAAAGCAATCATTTCACAAAAGCCTCTTGATTAACAAAAGCAGCACTCTAAAACATTTCCAAACCAAACAGATGAGCATGCCAGCCTGTAGGATCCCAGTGGATTCTTTGACAAATTTATTTAAATCAACTAGTCTTTGCCCCACTAGGAAGCCCTAGCGATTTCCAAGGGGACTTACTTCCGAGTAAATACCTGTAAGGCCGTGGTGCAACACAGCAATAAACATGTTTTACTTGGAAGAGTCACAGGCCTTGAATTATACATCCTAACCTTAGAACAGGGAAGAAAACCCTCCTGAATAGGGTTGGGTTGTATTCTCAGATTCATCCGTTTTGTTCTCTTGAGGTTTATCTTTTATTTCCCCTGCAATGGGGTGTTGCACCAGCAGATATGCTTGCTCACGTGTGCACAGTATTTACAAACGCAGTCTACCCAGCCAGCCACCCCCATGCGCAGACAGACAGCTGCCAGCAGCTTGCAGTTTGTATCCTTTTGCAAAGCAGCTAATAACCACAAACCACTTGCATTTAATGCCAAACAAAGACGCCAAATTTAAACGGCTTATATAAAAGACGAAGCTCGAGGAAAGGAAAGTCCGGGGCCCCTTTTGTTACGCAAGGACACTTGCTGCCAGATTGTCATTTGTATTTCACCCCCGCCAAACTTCTTGTAAACAGGGTATAAACCCCAGCGGGTTTATGAAGATGATGGATTTATCAGAGCTAGCCGACCTAACCAGAAGAGTCCGCGACCAGAAGGAGGAGGAGGAGTATCAAGAGGAATGGAAGAAATTTAAAAATTATTTTGTTAATATGTTAAGATAACTTAAATAGAATTACTTGCGAGTAACAGATTGGCCTAGGATTTAAATATGTGATGTTGTGGAATGATAAAAGTCAAAATGAAAAGAAAGAAAGATGTTAATGGATCAAGTAAATTTTATGTGAAACTAGTTTTGGAAAACTGCTACAATGATTTATATGGAAACTCAGTCATGGGGATTCAAGGAAGTCACCCAACAATGATAACAAAAGTGGAATTTTTACAGTTAGGATATATGTTTGCTGATTTTTTTTTATACGTTTGTGGATATGTTTGTTATAAATTTGGAAAACCAATAAAAAATTTTGGGGGGAAAATAAACCCCGGCGGGGCCTGATCCACGCCACCAGCAGCCGAGGAGTCGCCCTGCTTGCTGCCCGGCGTCCCGGGTTCCCACGCTCGCCGGGGAAACTTCTGCGTGTCTTTAAAGGGCCCAAAAGTCGAGCCAAAGAAACCCGCCCGCCGCCCGCCCGGCTCGGCTCCGTTTCCCGAGCCTTGTTTCCCCCTCCTCACCTTTCGCCACCTCCGCGCACAGGCGAAAGTCCTTCCCGGCGTTCATTGTTTACAGGCATGAAGCGAAGGCGGTCGAGGTTGGGGAAGGCGAGGCGGAGCGCGCTGGAAATGGCTGCGGGGAGACAGCCGAGGGCTCCTCCCTCCGCTCGCTCTCCGGAAAGTTTTCCTCAGAAACACGCTGCGGAGCCTCCGCCGCCGCCGCCGCGCACCACTCCCGCTGCACGCCCGGTCCTAAGCCCGAGGGGTGGGGGACTCGCCCGGCCGCGGGGAAGCGCAGGCGACTGGAGGAGAAAAGCCAGCCCCGTCGGTGAAGCGGGGCCTCCCCGCGGCTGCCATTGGCTGGCGAACGGGGCAGAGCCGCTCCCGCTAGCCGGAGGCAGCAGCAGCAGCCGCCCTTCGCGTTCCGAGCGGGGCACGGCCCTTCTTCCCCCAGCCCAGCCGCCGCCAGGAGAGCTGGTCCGGCCCGCGGGGGGATACGCAGTAGCCGGGCTCGCCCAGTGACTTGGCAGGCCGAGCTCCATTCCTTGGTGGGCGGGCGGCCGCCCGGTGGCTCTGCCTCGCCGCCTGAGGCGACGCGCAGACTTGCGCACCGCCGGCCAGAAACCTCTCCCCTCCACGACGACATTATTTGAGGCGCCTCGCTCGCTTTCCCCCCTTTCCCCTCCGCCACAAAATCTGAGGCAGGCTCTTGCAGCTTTCAAGGGGCCTTGGACGGAGCCGCGAAACTCAAAAACAGTCCCCCGCCACCGCCTCTTTGCTTTCCTTGGCCTGTGCTAAACTAACGCGAATTTCAATTAAGTTAGGCAGCCATTCTGGAAACTTCTGTCTTGCTTTTGTGCTGCTGGGATTTGCTGATTTGAATGTAAGCGGCTGTGGGAGTCTCTGACATTTTTATCGCAGCCCCGTAGCCATCTTGAGTCTCCTCAGAGAAATCGGTGGGATATGGTTTGTTCCAGACTAAAACAGGAGCGCAACAGATGGCTAAGGTTTCACAAGCGGAAACCTTGGGTGTGTTTTAACAAAATAATGGGTTTTTTAAATAATAATAAAAAAACAGAAGTAAGAGTTCTCATATCCCACCTTTATGCAATATGAGGTGCTCAAGGCAGCTCCCAAATACGGTGGTACCTCGGGTTACATACGCTTCAGGTTACATACGCTTCAGGTTACACACTCTGCTAACCCAGAAATAGTGCTTCAGGTTAAGAACTTTGCTTCAGGATGAGAACAGAAATCGTGCTACTGCGGCGCGGCAGCAGCAGGAGGCCCCATTAGCTAAAGTGGTGCTTCAGGTTAAGAACAGTTTCAGGTTAAGAACGGACCTCTGGAACGAATTAAGTACGTAACCAGAGGTACCACTGTACCCTCAAAACATTTTAGCTGGAAGGCATTGTTGGAGAATAATGCAACAAAACACCACCACCACAAACTGGCTTATAAGTATAAAACCAAATTTACTAGAATAATAGCTAGAATAGATTTGTAACCATTCAAGCAACAAACATACCGTACTAAGGTGCCATGTGCAAAACAAAGCCTGGAGATACTGTAAACATGGAGTGGATAAATGTACAGCTTGCATCTACAGTATCTCCAGGCTTTGTTTTGCACATGGCACCTTAGTACGGTATGTTTGTTGCTTGAATGGTTACAAATCTATTCTAGCTATTATTCTAGTAAATTTGGTTTTATACTTATAAGCCAGTTTGTGGTGGTGGTGTTTTGTTGCATTATTATTACTGTCACCACATTTGATACTTTGTGTATATTGTTTGAGAATACTCTCACTTTCACATGCTCCAGCATAGCTTTGGCAAAAGTTGCAATGCACAAGTACAGTTTAGATTCACTTCTGTGGAACCATGCACAGGTTTGCACAATAAAACGGGGGGTGGGGCAGTGCAATTCCTAGTATGGTTCCTTGGAAGTCACACAGAGTCTCTCTCGCAACCTCAGCCCCTTCTGTAAAATGGGGGCAAGAACCCTGATTTAATTTACAGGCGTATGGGGTGTTAGGGGAGGGGTAGTACCTTTGGGGTGATGACTCCTTCTGGGGTAGGCGTTTTTTACTTCACCCCCCCCCAGCACACTCCATTGTTTCTAGAGACAGATGTATGCCAACAACAAAGTTGCAGGTTTGCTGAAACAGTTACAATATGGTTAACTACTGAACATTTCATAGCACTGTATAAACACTAAGTATCACCTCTTTGGCACCTCAGCATGAGCAAAGTGCTATGCAAACCTCAAGAGTTTTATGGTATGGCTTGCTAACGTTTCCATTTTAACGAGAGCAAAAACATAAGGAGTAATTTGCTAAGCGCACCCAGACGTTTGAACTAGTGTCCTAGTCCAATTCTCTCTCTATCAAAGCTTCCACATGTGAGCTGCTTTCCCATAAATCAGACTCCCACCTTTAAATGTAGAAAGGAGGGGAATTGATAATGCATGTTGAGATTTACAGTGCATGGATTCCCCTGGAAAAGAAAATGGCACTGGGGTGTGTGATTCCATAGCTAGGAAATCTAATAAATGAATTGGCTTTTTGTCAGCAACAGGGAAACTGGCTTGTGTGATGCTTTGTGTTTTATCTCAAGTGACTGTCAAGTGTTTATCTCGTGTTTTTACTATTCTGCTGGGAGCTGCCCAGAGTGGCTGGGGAAACCCAGCCAGATAGGTGGGGTATAAACAACAACAACTGTTGTTATTTCAGATTAAAGAATCATGCACACATCCTGAGAAAACCTATAGAAGTATAATGCAGCAAGATGTGGCAAATTGTGACCTTAGAGGGGCACAGGGAAGCTTTCACACTATAGAACTTTACTGTGAGACTCGCCACGGATGAATGGAGTATTGTCAGGATCTGCCCTTCCCCATAACTCATGGTGAAGATCCCAGTTTCAATTCTCAGCATTTCCTGGTAGGGTTGGAAAATATTTCTGTCTAAAACCTGGGAAGCTGCTGGTGGCCAGCATTGATAGAAGCTCAACTGATTGGTGGTCTTACTTAGAAACTTGCCTATGTTCCTAAACTTTTTATGGGGAGGGGTATACCATTTGCGGACTAGGGGAGAAATGCATGTGAGATGTCTCAGTTCTGAAAGCACAGCCTTTTTAGAATTACATCTTTTAGTTTTCTTCACTTTTGCATGTTACACACTCTTCCTCATTTTGCTGCTCATCAAAGGGAAAATCCATGGGTAAAAAGAAAGCATTGTGTGCTTATTTGTTTGTAAGCTGAGGATTTGCTTCTTCCCAAGCTCGTGGCAGAATATTATGAAAGAAGTATTAGCAATTTTAAGACGTTAATTGCAGGGTGTGGAGATGTTGTTTTAGGGTGCTAACTTTAAAGGAATGCTCATGGCAGAACATTTTTACAATTCCTTACCACACCTATTACTATGAAAGAAACCAAATGTAGAAATAACAACATTTAAACCCTTCCGTAATAGATGTGTCCACAGAGGACAGTTTCAAAGGGCGAGCCAAAAATGGACACTTTTCTTTAGGAGGGGGTCAATGTTTTACAGTTTCTTCAGATATCAAATATTTGTTTTAGCATGCTAACTGAAAAGTACTGCAACTCGCTTTATATATCACCATACCATAAGCTAAAGGCTTGGCACAATCACAATCTCTTTCATCATTACAACCACTTTCTTAATGACTACTCTGAGTAACATCACCATTTCTATTTTAGTTATCCAAGATAACTTGCCCAAGGTCTCTGTTCCCAAGTAATGTCACCCCACTCAGGGATCCAGGGTCCATATTAAAAAAAGTAAGTGACTTTAATGCATTTACTGAAGTGTGGATGTAAGCTACAGTGTTTGTGATAACTATCACAACATTGATAAAATGGTATATGACCCTACCTTTACCCATTAAGATACATTCTACTTCCATAGTGCAACACATCTGAAGCCTAAGAGGAACAAATAGTTACATTCCTTATTTCACTAGTCACTCCTTCATTTTGCATCCATCCACAGCTAATTCTGAAAGTTATTTAATTTCGTTACACATTTGGGAAGAGCTCCAGCTCATTTTGTGCCTTTGAGACTTCAGCACTTCTGTAAAGCAGTTATCAATATTTACAGGGTAAGTGCTGCAGTTAAGAGAGTGACTAATGGGTGTCATGAGAAAGCCTTGTAATAATCAGAACAGACACTTAAAGAGCAATATCCTTGAGTTATGGAACACTTTGTACTAAGTAAATATTCACAAATGGGAAATGCACTCTGACCCAAACCTGGGCACACTTAATTCAGCAATAAGCCTCACTCAGTACATTAGATGTACTTCAGAGTAAAGGTGCATAGGATCAGGCTCCATTTTTTGGGGGAAGGGCAAGACTGTCAATATTAAAAGACTTCTTAGCCCTCTTCTTGGGGGAAAGAACCACCAAATATTTTGGTGCACTTGAGGTTTAGTTAGGGTCTACACAGGTCATGTTCCTTTTCTTTCTGTATGTTACCTGTTCCAGACATATATTTTCAAACCCTTGTAAAAAGCCCCACCAGCTGCAACATAACTCAGCATTCTACACCGCAATGCCCAGTTTTTTTGACAAGCCTCTACAATCTACATCCATTTTTAAAAGGTCAGTGGAAATTTGCCCATTGATTTCAGCAAAATGGTGCTTATTTTGCAACTCGGGTGACTTGCTGTAAGTATATTTGATCAAATCAGGGTCTCCAGCCCACTTGTCCTCTGTGCCACCAGTTCTGGTTCCTCTGCAAACCAGGTACATTTGCCTCTGTTGATGAAAAGATGCCCTCTAGGCTGCAGCTCCAGCCTGGATGGCCTAGGTAGGATAATGATACCTGGCACATTCCTAGTCCACCGAAGCAGATTTCAGAGGAGATACCTTTCCTGCCTTTCCTGCCAGATGTGCTTGTGTACTTCAGGCAAAGCTCAGAATTGCATGATTTGCTCATGTTGCTGTTACGGAAGTACGAGTCCTTGGCAGACAAAGAATTCTTACAGGGCTAGAAGGTTGGAGCTGTGATTTTTTTTGTCACAGGACTCTCTACCATGTACTTACATAGTAAAGGTAAATTCTGACAGGCCCAGGATGATTCCCCTCATGTGGAGGAGCTTTATGAAGGCATGCTGATATGTGTGTGGAGCCCTTTCTCGTGTGTTGAAGAAAAAGATGGTGAGAGGTGGAGCATAGCTGCTGGGTGCATAGGTCAGGGGGGCTAGCCCTTGGAGCCCCATGACCCCCTTACACGTCCTTTGAATGCCTGAGGAGGTCACATGAACATTCCTTTATAAACTGATGTTGATCTCCTCTGAACCATGTGGTGTATCCTACAGAAACCAAGGGGAGCAATAGTATCTTGCTGTGTTACCATTTCAAAAGCCCATCTTAACAGCTTACTTCAACATATCAGGCAAGAGGCCAAGACAGAGGCAAACTCTGCAGTGAGCAAAATGCATTTGATCCAATATTAAAAGGCCTTTAAGATAGCGCTCAGAGCAGTCTGCAGTCTGTGACACAGCGTGGCTGTCTGCAGTCTTTTGGTAGGTGACACAGGGTGGCTACCAACAGGCAGTGCAAGTCAAGATGCCTCTGGTACAAATCTTGACATGGTTTACATATTTAGGAAGGCCACTCTCAGCCTCCCCCTATCAATAGTATAAGGATAATACTGGTCTTTCATACAAAGCGATGGTAGACGTGAAATAATTTGAGCAAAAGCTGCAAATCTCCCCCTTTAGAAATGCTCTGGCTGGTCCCTTTCTGGTCCCAAAATCAAAACAACACTTAGAGCAGGCTTCCTCAACCTCGGCCCTCCAGATGTTTTGAGAGTACAATTCCCAGCATCCCTGACCACTGGTCCTGCTAGCTAGGGATCATGGGAGTTGTAGGCCAAAAACAGCTGGAGGGCCGAGGCTGAGGAAGCCTGACTTAGAGGAACAGGGGAGAATCTTAGAGGAGCAAGGGAGGGCATCTAGCTAAAGCGTATAGGATACAGAAGCCAGCTTTCATTGTCTGCAGCAAAAGTAGCATGTTTTGATGCCAAGTGACGCAGATTAGCCTCTTATAAGCATCCCCTTGAAAAGCTAAACAACTGGGGTTGCTTTGTGCACCCCGTTATAGGAAAAGCGATTGATTGATTGATTGATTGACTGATTGATTGTCAGAGGGATCTCTTCAGAGAATGTCTGGGTTGCACACGACTGACATTGCATCACCAAGTTATAGGTGAAGCAGTTCATGAACCTTCCTTGGAGGTTTTTTAACAGAGGTTGGGTGGCCATCTGTCTTGGATGCTTTAGCTGAGATTCCTGCATTGCAGGGGTTTGGATTAGATGGGCCTTGGGTCTCTTCCAACTCAAAGATTTTATGATTCTATGACTTTGTGACTTCACTGAATAAACTCAGATGCCACAGGCAAGAACCCAGCCTTAGGGGTACAGCTGAACTTGGGTTTGAACTTAGAAGTTCTAAAATAAATGTGAAAAGGGAACCTTCATGCCCTGATTATTTATAGACTATTAGCAAGATGCCCTTTCCCCCCCAGCTGAAAGGGAAAAGGCTTGACTTTCCAAAAATAGCAAAATAAGTATTGATAAATTTAGGCAGTTGGGTACTGTTTCATTTACAGAGCAAGATTCCTAGCCAAATTAAAGTTCTTCTTTTGCATCAGATTTGTTATTGGATTCTGGAATAACTTACGTCAGGGAGCATGCTGCTGAGTGACATGTATTGGGATTATCACGGAGACACACTTTAGGGCTTTCCCTGTCCATCATTGCAATCTTCTATTACCAGCTCAACACCAAGAAAAATCAGAGACATATTCTCAGGACATGTGCAACGTCCCAGCTATACTGAGCTTTCTTGTAACATTTATTCTGACACAGCAACAATCAGAGTGAATTTACACACATAAGAGAGTCATGCATTGCTTAGGCCAGGGGTCAGCAACCTAAGGCCCATGGGCCACAAGTGGCCCATGGGGATCTTTTAACTGGCCCATGGACCCCCGCTGCCTGTTCAGTTGGCTCCCATGCACCGCGCTAAACCAGCACAGAGCAGAGCAGGGACCACCTTCCGCGACGCTGACCAAGCTGCGCATGCCTCCTCCGCGCTGAAAGAAAATAGTGCATGCATGTGCGCTCCTGTGCGCACTCCGGCCCACCGCGGCATCTGCTGGAATGTGAATGGGCCCAAGCCACAAAAACTTTGCCGACCCCTGACTTAGGTTCTCCCAAGCTGAACAAAAACCACTAGCTATGTACTGTGGCCTGCCAAAGGATTTGGCACACAGACATACAATCTTTTTTTTCTTTTTTGTGTGATGTGAAATAAGCTGCATAATGGGTATACCTAGCCCATGGCTGCTGTGCGGCATGTTGATCACAACATATCTAGGCCTGTCACAGGATCAGACTGACATAACAAATGACCTTTTTATTTGGACAGGACAAAGTCACTTTTAAGTGTCAGTACGCCCATTTGAAGGAGTGCTGTAAATATCCAATGCAGAAAATATCCACAGTAAACACTGTACTACCATGAACGAGCAATGCAAAGCCCTGTAAATGAAAACATAACTTTCCAGCCAAGCAATGTAAAGAGAGAGAGAGAGAGAGCTGTGAGTAAATAATGCCTGGGCTTTTTCAAAAATTGTTTTGGGAATTTAATTCACAGACTGTTACTTATTGTTACTAACCATTTGTGCAGCATCACTTTTAAGAGGTAATGTGCTTTACAATTATCTCCCATATGCCTTGCATCCCTTTTCAGAAAGTAACATTCCTGTTCTATGGATGGACAACTGGAGAGACCTGACCAAGGCGGAGTTTACAACCAGGTTATAATTTTCTGAAAAGGTTCCAATATATGTAACATATATCAGGGATCTGAAACCAACTGCATTTTCTAAGCCCTGTGTTTATTAGCATGCATAATACAAGAGCATGTTGAGAACATAATAGATGAAACAGCCTTCAGATGTTTCTCCATCATGCCATCCCGCAAAGTGGGGGCTTACAAAGAACTGGGGAAATGAAGGGAGATAAATGTTAAAAACCAATAGTATTAGACTGGGCACTAGGAACACTGGGACTAGAATGAGTAGCTTATTGCTTATCCAGCCCTGAGCCTATCACTATGGTACAATTGCCATACAGCTTACCCATTGCTACAAACATTTTTCCTTAGACAAGCCTAGCCAGATATGCAGTTGTTGACATACATTGATCTCTTTTCAATCTTAATTGTTTTAAATGTTTCTAATTGTTTTAAGTGTTTTTCATTGATAGTTTTAATATCTCTTGCAAACCACCAAGAGGTTTTATTACAATCAAGTAGTATAAACATTTTGTTAAATAAAAAATAAAGCACCAAGGAGTTTGGGGCTTGAAAAGCCCTACATGATTTAAAATAACTAGCTCTAAGCAATATGCTAGAGTCTGCTGTTCATAACTCTTGCAATATTTATATGGGCATTTACATGTACCATTGATTACATGCTGTTCATAAAAATCAAAACATTATTTATACCTTCTTTCAAAGAACAATAAAAGTGGAAGGATAAGAAAACACAAAGCTAGCTGTCAACAGCAAATTCGATTCAGCAGCTATAAGCAGTACAAAGTTTAGATAGAAAAAGGCTTTTAAGACTTTGGGTGGAAATAAAAGCTACAACGGCAGTTTAAGGGATCTTTTAATGCCACATCCTTAGTTATGTTGTATTCCTAATATTTTGTATTTCCCCCTCATGTTTGATTTCCACATCCACAATGCAATATTATATTGAATTCAATCCTTCACTGCTTTCTTGCAAGAAGATAAAACAAATAGGTGCATGGTGCTGATAAAGCACATTTCCTGGACTCAAAAGATTTTCAGTTTAACTGTAGTGAAAACTTGTGCAATTATTCATCATCCAGATGAAGCCTTCTCAATATAAGTGTACCATTTTACACCCAGGACTCGGCTATACAGCTGCAAATAAAACGTTTTGGGTGTGTGCGTTATACAAATGTGACACTAGATGGCAATGGTGAGCTAAGGCAAATTCAATATATTTTTCAAATCATTTCCCCCCAAAAAAGCATTTTCACAACATTTTTTATATGTGTGTAGATTCCACCCAAGATGCAGAGACATGCTGAATTTAAATGCTTTGTATGTTAGATGGGTTAAATTGAGTCAACTGAACTCATGATTGCAACATTGATTTAAACTGCCAAGGAAAATGTTTACATCAAATCACTGGTTTCAGCCAAATTTTCCAACTTATATTTTTCTTCAACAAGCCCACACAATAATTGGTTGAAATGATAATCAAAGCAGTATCCATTTATAACTAAGCAGAGCCTTTTAATTACTAAGGAGTATAATCTGAAATCTCTAGTTACATTAGTCTTCTAGGCTTTTGCACTGCAGAATTTATATTTGCTTAGAGACAGAGGAACAATGGTGAAATTGGCTCTCCTTGCACCCATATAGGTGCAAGGAAGATCACTACTTGAAGAATAAGACCCAAACTACATTGCTATTTAAAGTGCTTTTCTGATCACTTGGGAATCTTGCCACATAGGTCATGGCTTCAGTTTTCAGATATCATGGGCTGGATCCAGATAATTCTGCACACAGAACAGGGCTTTCCCACCTCTTTCTTACTTTAGCTCCCTGCTGCTCCTAAGGGTTGAGGGAACCTATTCAGAATGGCACGGGATCAGGTTCTAGAGGGGAAATCTGCAGAAATCAAAGCAATCCCCTGTGTGGGGGGAAAACTGCCATTGATTCATGCAAGCAGACCTTTGGGTCTGTTCTCATGAGTCTAAACTTTCACACATGTTTCTTACTTTCAGAGTTTCACTGAAATGACTGTAATTGAAGGCTCAATACAGCTGAATGTGTGTTAACATCCAATTTAAACTAAAATTAGCTTCTTTATTTTGATTTTTTAAAAATCCACTCCATTTTGTGCAGATAAATTATGTATGCATCAGATCAGGACAATACACAGCGTTTCCAGGAAAAAGCTGGAGGAAAAAGAAAGCAGATCAATCAAATAAAGCAGAGATGCTGTTCAGTAGTAGTTTGCTGGTGGCCTTTGATGATTCCCCATCTATCCAGCATGACAGGCTGAGACAGAAGAGCAACGATGTGAGTGGAAAGAACCTTGAGTGTTATTCAACTCCAGAACCCTGCCCAAGCCTTCGTTTGCCTCCTTAAAATATGTTTTGTAACCATGATCAGAATGTAATTCAAAAAAATTTTTTTATCACAAGCTTTCTATACTACCCTTCAGCAAAAATGGCTGTATGGTGGTTTACAAAAACAAGGTAGTGTGAAAACAATAAAGCCTAAGAAATAGAAACAAAAAATAATAGTCCTCATCAGTTACATAATTTACAGCATTATGAAAAGGGGACTTCCAATCTATCAGCCTCTAAAAGCTCGGCAAAAAGGTGTTTGTTTACCTGGCTTCTAAAAGAACATAAGGGAGGGCATTTTGCAGATTATAATTTTTGTAGATGTATTATATTATTATACTGTAGGTATAATTTTATGTACAAACATATATACACACAATAAAATGTTGAAATCTAAAACATGCAGATGGAGAATCATGTTGTGATTCATAAGGTTAAGGCATCTCTTAACTAGAAAAGAGGAATTGCAGCCTACCATTGTTTTAGAATGTTCACGCTGATGTGATAGCCTGTGTAGTGCCATATTGTAATATATCTATAATATATCTACAAGTGGAAATGTTTACCTGGATACTGCCCCAACAAACAACTAGTGCAGAAAGGTATGCAATGCAACTTCCTGATCCTTTTCTCTCCTCTCTCCATGCAACCCCTAAATCTGTTCTGGGTCCCCCCCGCCCCCACTTTCAACCCACCAGACTTAGGGGTCACCCAAAAGTCTTTGTGCTAGCGAAACTGTTTAGCTGGATACTGTCCCTGGGTTTGCATCTCTCTGCTCAGCCATGAAACTCCCTGGGTGATGTTCAGCAAGTCAATTGTTTCAGACTAACCTACCTGACAGGGTTGCTGAGTAGATGAAATGGGGAGTAGGGAGGACCACGTATGCCACTTAGAGCTTCTTGGAGGATAGATGAGCTTTACATGTAATAATGAATAAATAATAATATACTATTGGAAGGATGCGGGTGGCGCTGTGGTCTAGGTCTAAACCACTGAGCCTCTTGGGCTTGCCGATCAGAAGGTCGGCGGTTCAAATCCCTGCGACGGGGTGAGCTCCCGTTGCTCGGTCCCAGCTCCTGCCAACCTAGCAGTTCGAAAGCACATCAAAGTACAAATAGATAAATAGGTACCCCTCCAGCGGGAAGGTAAACGGCGTTTCTGGTTTTGGTGTTCCGTTGCTGGCCACATGACCCGAAAAAACTGTCTGCAGACAAACGCCGGCTCCCTCGGCCTGTAAAGCGAGATGAGCGCCGCAACCCCAGAGTCTTTTGTGACTGTACTTAACTGTCAGGGGTCCTTTACCTTTTTTAAAATATACTGTACTGAGAAGCTTAGAACTACTGCATTACTCGGAAGAGTGCTACAGAGTGCTTCCCACCGTAATGACCACCAAGGTGAACAAGGGTCTGGAAAGCAAGCCTTATGAGGAATGGTTGAAGGAGCTGGCTATGGTAAGCCTGGAAAAGAGGAGACGGAGAGGAGATATAATAGCCATATTCAGATATCCAAAGGGCTGCCACATGGAAGATGGAGCAAGCTTGTTTTATCCTGCTCTGGAGGGTAGGACTCGAACCAATGGCTGCAAATTATAAGAAAAGAGATTCCGACTAAATGAGGCCAGCTGTCATGGATGCTTTAGCTGAGATTCCTGCATTGCAGGGGGTGGACTAGATGACCCCAGGGGTCTCTTCCAACTCTACAATTGTATAAAGCAGCGAGCTAGTGGCAAAGCAACCTGGAGGTCCTTTTGCTCAGGATTTGTATCATCAGGACAGTTTTAAGCTTCCTGTACAAAAGGTGGAGAGGAAAACAAGCACCCATTGAACAGGCAACAATAAAGAAGTCTTGTTTATCCCACACAGGCACACCGGCTCTGGGGAGGCAGCAATTTCCCCCAAGGGCTCATAACTAGCGGCAGGAGGGGGGAAAACACCCCCCATCTCTATACAAAAGGCAATGCACAGAATTCTAAGATTTGATCAGAAATCAGGATAACACCCATTCTTCCTGATACTCCTCCTCCTCCTCCAGGAAGAGTGGATTAAATTGAATGATTACTTAGTTAAATATGTTAAGTTAAATTAACTGAAAACAGCTTGCAGATACTTACTTGGCTTAGGATTTTAATTATGTTAAGTGATGAATTAATATGTTTAATTTCATAATGTGAAGATCTAAGGATGTTAATGTTTAAGTTAAATTTTATAAGAACTGTGATTTGGAAAACCATCAAAAGGACATGCAATGAAATTCAACCAAGGGGAAGCGAGGAAGTCACTTAACAAGGTTAATCATTTTCAATAAGGCTATGATTTATGTTTGTTTGTCTTATGTGTTTGTTTGTTTATACAGTTGTGAAAACCAATAAAAAAATTTTGGGGAAAAAAGAAGAAATCAGGATAACACGGGGGGTGGTGGTGGTGGAGGAGAACGTCTGACCAATTTGCATTCGGAGGCAAAAAAAACAACAACATTGAGAATCAGGAGCTCCCTCGTGCATCAGATTTTCCCTCCCAAGGGATCGCGGGTAGCGCGCAACGTTTGGAGACGCGAGGGAAGCCCGGGCATTGTTTACGCCGCGCCTCGGCGACGCGCGCGGACGCAAAGGAGAGCCGCGCGCCTGGGCGAGAAATCCGCGCCGCCAAGTAACTCGGGAGGCTGATTTCCAAGCGAGGGAGGCGGATCGGCGAGTCCCCAGCCCCGGTTGCACCCATCCCAACACGCCCCCCAAAACAGCCGCCCCGATCCGCGCCCCCTCACCTGTGATCTGCAGGTAGAGCTCTCTCCGGAGGGGCCGCGGCGCCGGCTCGTCCGCCTCCAGGACGGCGGGCAGCGTGGCCGAGCTGCGCGTCTTCTTGACGGCCGGCTGCGGCGGCGGCGTGTCGGGCAGGCTGGCCGGGGCCGAGTTTCGCCGCCCGCCCGCCGCCGAGGTCTTCCGCTTCATGGCGGCGGCGGCAGCGGCGGAGGAGGCAGCGCACCGGCGCTCATCCCCGCCGCTGACCCCTCGCGGGGCTCGCGCAGCCCAGCGGGAGCAGGAGGCGGCGGGCGGCGGGACGCGGCGGCCACAAGCGCCGCCCCGCTCGGCTCCCAACCGGCCGCGGGCCGCTGCTGCTGCCGCTCCCGCGCTCGGGCGCCGCTCCCGCCTCATTCGGGCGCTCCCTCCGCCAGCCCGGCGCTCATTGGGCCGGGCGGCGTGACGCCATAATCCCCCAGGCTCGGCCCCGGTGATGTCATAGTGAGAGACGCCTGAGCACCTGCGTCGGGTGGGGTGGGGTGGGGGTGGGGTCAAGGCGACAAAGGCCTCGACATTCCTCTTTTTCTGTCCACGCATTCGTATAGAATAGAGGTCAGCAAACTTTCTTTTTTTTCCAAATTTTTTTTATTGGTTTTCACAACATTATAAACAAACACATAAGACAAACAAACATAAATCATAGCCTTATTGGAAATCTCACTTATTAACATTATTAAGTGACTTCCTCGCTTCCCCTTGGTTGAATTTCATTGCTTATCCTTTTAACAGTTTTCCAAATCACAGTTCTTATAAAATTTAACTTGAACATTAACATCCTTAGATCTTCACATTATGAAATTAAACATATTAATTCATCATTTAACATAAATAAAACCCTAAGCCAATTAAGTATCTGCAAGCTCTTTTC